ACTCTTTTAAACATTAAGTAATGTTACAAAGATGACTAATAACAGAGTTAGTTATACATTGCTGCTGAAGAAATTGGAAATATCTCACTGAATGAAAAAATTAGCTACACTGAAGTTAAAACTTAAATTCTTGTTACGAACTTATGAAACTATAATCCTTCAAATGTTTCACTTATGTGCCAGTGCTTTCCAGCATCTTCAAGGACGATGGCAAGACTCAACAGTAGTAAGACCACTATATAAAAAAGGGGACAAGACTAGTATGTCAAACTACAGGCCAATTTCACTGCTAACTGCTTTCTCTAAAGTACAGTCAACTCTCGATTATCCGGGATAATGGTGGGGATGGAAATCACGATTAATCGTAAACCTGGTTAAGACAAATTTGATTAAAAGTAGTACTGTAATACTGCACCTTCATAATACTATAGGCCTACCTGTATTTAAATTTATTCAACCTCATTTTTATGTCATCTCATGGCCTATTTAATACTTTTTTTACATTACACTGAAATATGAATTAGTTATTTCAATCACAGTCTTCAACAACATCCAACATTTTTTACGAATATTCACACTTAACACTTAAAAAAAATTAATATTGTCATTTACTTTTTCGCGGCATTTTCCTTTTTCTGTTGAATACTTAACACAACACGCTTTCTTTTACACCCTGACATTTTGCTAACACACTTTAAGATCGATACAAAGATACTAACTGGGGCGATGGGGTGGTGTATCTGTCCTCGAAACTTTCCACAAATCCTTGCATTGTTTCACCCCTACCCTAGAACATTGTGTTAACATAATGGGACCAAAGAATGCAGAGCTCGGTTCACACTAGTGCGAAAATAGTGTTACAACTTGCCATGTGAAACAAAAGTGAATGAATATTAAACAACATATAAGCCTCAAAAAAGCCTCAGTAGCCCCGGTTAAGCCGCAAACCGGTTAATCTGTCCCCCGGATAATCGAGAGTTGACTATATTTGAAAAAGTTATGCAAAATAGGTTAAGCCATTATTTTCAAAGTAACAATCTACTAGTCCCAGAACAGTGTGGCTTTAGGAAAGGAATTCCCATTCAAAATGCAGCCTTTAAGTTAACAGACAGTGTGTTGAAATCTATTAATCAAAAAATGCATGTTGGTGGAATATTCTGTGACTTGGCAAAGGCTTTTGACTGTGTAAATCATGAAATTTTATTAACTAAATTACATTTTTTTGACATTCAAGGAACAACGTTAAGTTGGTTCAGATTCTACCTAACAGATAGAAAACAAAAGACTGAAATAAAATCATCAAATTAAATCCAGAATACCTACTCAAACTGGGGAATAATAAAACATGGAGTTCAACAGGGGTCAATTTTGGAGCCTTTGCTTTTCATAACTTATATAAACGACCTCCCTCCTACAATAAGCACCTCATCAGTACCTACAATATTTGCTTGTTATAATTTCTGGTAAAAATTTAGATGATTTCTGCATGTTATCAAGCAAGGTTCTTTTGCAAATGAGTAAATGGTTTTCTGCAAATGAGCTGTCCCTGAACCTAGAAAAAACAAATGTAATAAAATTTATAACAAAAAAAACTCACCACAATATCCATTAAACATAGGATACAATGATAAATATATAGAAGAGGGAGTAAACACAAAATTCTTTGGCTTGCAAATTGATAATCATTTAAACTGGAAAAACCATGTAAATCAGTTTATTCTAAAGCTAAGCAGAGCATGTTATGCAACTAGATTCATGTTACATATTAGTAACACTGATACTCTCAAATCGATCTATTTTGCTTACTTTCACTCTTTAATGAAGTATGGAATAAGGTTCTTGGGTAATTCATCTGACAGTAAAAGGGTATTTACATTGCAAAAGAAAATTGTTAGAATCATGATGGGTGTCAAATCGCATAATTCCTGTAGAGATGTATTTAAGAAACTACAGATCTTAACTTTGCCTTGTGAATATATACAGCGTGATTCAGAAAGACGGACACAATTTCAATTGGCTATATTTCCTGAACTGTATGTTGCATTTGAATTCTGTAAAGTACATTTGAAAGAGGATGTTGTAAAGTTTCTAGTACTACCGCTAGGGCCCTCCATCACTGCGTTAGTTGTAAGTGAGATGCCTACTATGCAACACAAGATTTTTTGCATTCGTGAGTTCAGTAAAAGTGAGTCTGCGACAGTGGTGCAGCATGCATTTCGTCGTAAGTTTAACATCCAACCTCCAACAAGGAAGAGCATTTATTGTTGGAATAAACAATTTGATTAAACTGGCTCTCTGTGTAAGGGTAAAAGCCCGGGCCGATCGCGTGTATCGGAGAATGTGGAGCGCATTCGAGTGAGCTTTGAGCGTAGCCCAATGAAGTCAACCCGTAGTGCTAGTAGAGAACTTGGACTATCACAAACAACTGTGTGGCGTGTACCACCTCTTCCCACAAATTTGAATGACCTAATAAACCGTATCACAGCTGCAGTGAACTCAGTGACGTAAGATATTTGTCATCGAGTGTGGGATGAATTCAGCTACCGTCTAGATGTTATCTGTGCAGCCGGAGGGGGGCACACTGAACATCTATAAACTTCCATATATGTATAATCAATTGTAATTTACAGAATTCAAATGCAACATATAATTTAGGAAATATAGCCAATTGATATTGTGTCCATCTTTCTGAATCACCCTGTATATATTCATTAATAAACTTCATTACAAATAACGAAGAACAGGTTCGGTTGAATGTGGATGTACATAGTGTTAACACAAGACACAAACACTGTCTTCATAAACCAACTGCTAACCTCTCATGCTTTCAGAAAAGTGCATATTATGCTGGGATCAAAATTTTTAATAACCTGCCATCTGATCTCAAAGGTCTTATGAACGAAAAGACATGATTTAAAATAGCACTGAAACGATACTTAAATACACATTCATTCTACCCTGTTGATGAATACCTACTGTTAAGAAAATAACTTATGTATCTTTATATAGCCTTGTGTGTAGTCACTGTGTATTTTTGGTTTCTCTTGTGTGAGAACTCCATTGTGACTGTACATTTGTTTTGTATTTATATGACATATACCACATCCTACAATCATTTTGACTAACTGGATCCATGGAATGCAATGCAATGTAATGTAAACAACTCATCACAGGACTGATTACAGAAAATAGCACCCATTTGGAAACTATGATAAAGGATTCATGAATAATACAGACAAAGAGGGAACATCAGACATTAATTCACCAGGTTCTTCTGAACTCTGTGTTAACAATTTGAAAAACAATCATAAAAGGAAAGATTTCATGGAATCTTAGGCAATATGACAATGGAAATGCTTACCCAATTTCTGACATTTTTACGTATAATAAGATATTGATCTATCCCCCTCATTGGTGTCTCCACCTTAACGTGGTGAGGGGGTTTGAGTATGCCAAGGACCCTGAGAGCTATACCAGTGGTAGCATACCTACTGGCAGGGCCTCCCTTGCTGGACAGGTCAAAGGGTGGGCATCAGACGAAGAGAGACACCAAAAACCAAAAACTGATGATGGAAGCAACGTCATCAGCAGCGACTTGAAGCACAGAGGAAATGATGCTTGAGATGGTTCAAGTTCGTATAGCAACAGGTGCGACCAGAGTGGTTTGAATGGCTGCTGTACTGCGATGTGGAAAGCAAACAGAAAAACTACCACATTATCACTTTTCCTGGATAGCCTCTTTCCAAAAACAGAGATACCATGTATGCAAGATGTTTCCTCTGGAGACAAAACAAACCGGAGGGGCAGACAGAAGTGACGAGAAGACGAGGAAGAAGTCGTAAGAAGATGCTGGATGACTTTGGGGACAGAAGAGGATATTCTCATTTGAAGGAGAAAGCTTGAGATCGCATTAAGTGGAGGAACTGTTTTTGGAAAAGACTGTGAACCTGTCGTCTGACAGATTACTGATGAATGAATGAATGGATCTATGAATTTTATTATGAAACAAACTGCCAGACAGCAATTCAGGTCTTCCCAAGGTTACACACTCCATGTGAAAGTAAATCCATTAAGTAGTGTTGGAAAGATGATGCTGACTTCTTCCTTTCCAACAAGCATTCGTATGACTTGCCACTACACTTGAAGCACAACATACTGCAACTACAGAATGGTACACTATAAGCTATTTGATTCAGAAGCTTCAGAAAAGGCACAACTGCTCTACAGCAAACAAGTCATAACATACATCAAATACCACATTTTCTGTCACCTAAAATGAAACCTTTTCAAACTTGGATTGACAGATGACCCTACTTACAAAAGGTGTCTAGGAAAAGACAAATCAGCCACACACATCCTATGTGGTTGTGAGGAAACAGCTTACTTAAGATTTTAGTTCTTCATAGAACCAAATGACTACTGTGACGCCCCCATAAACAAAGTTCTACATTTCATTCGAAGTGTATGAGTGATAAAGGGTTAATCAAAATGGGAAGCACAATAGATCACTGATGTTGGCAGTTCAAGAGCCGGATTATTGTGGCCCACCCCTTATGCATTCATTCATTCATTCAAATACCACACTTTATGCAGAACATTCCAACACAGCTACCTACTAATCAAGCCTATGGTGTAAAGTTGGCATCACATGGCTCTTTTTTTTTTCCATCAGTAACGGACAGTTTCCTAGGTTACTGATTTAGAAGTAAAAGATGCAAATAAACAGCAGTTGTCAGCAATAACATAAAATGAGCGGAACTGGTAATTTCAAAGTCAGTGAACAGTAAGCAGGAGAGCAAAATAAAGATCCCACTATCACAATGCCCTAATTACCCACATATACAGAACCTTACCTTCATTTCTTATTGTTGGTGTGGGATGACAATGAGTCCCTTCATGCTGCAGCCACAAATGAGTCTACTGTACTAGCAGAGATGGAAGAGGAGAGGCGGAATGACAATCAACTGGGGAAAACTGAAATAAGACCTCCATGTCACTTTTCTTGCCAAAACTATATACATTGTCCTAGGACTGAATCCATCTTGCATGGTGAGAAGACAGCAACTAACTGCCTGAGCTATGGTATGGCCTGAAGTCTTACCTTTATTTTATATCAGTACATAATTACATGGGCATTTTAGTGCCCATACATTTCTATAAGGCTTCATTCTTTCTCAGAATTGCACAAAATAAGCACACCAAGTCATCTATGTGTATGCAGAACAGAAAGTTTGTCCTTTATTCACTGTGAAGGTGCAAAGCTCTCAGAGTTACTTCACCATTTGTATAGAACGAAGGAAGTGTTACAGTCCTTTATGATTAACTTTGACACTGACTGTAACCATAGTAAGCAAAGGTAGAATCAGTGACATTTTCTGAATAAATTACATCTTCAAAATGAAATGAGAAACTCTGTGAACTCATCTACATCTCACATCACTGTCTGCTCTGGACATACAAAATTTTCATGCAACTTCTTTCACCGATAATTAAGCCACAGAAACTATAAAATGTGAACAATGCACCAATAAATTACCAAAACTACACACTCAGTGAGCTAATAAATAAAACTGTTTCAAAATCCAAGATCTACCACTATTCAAACTACAGAAATGTTGTAAAAACAAAAGAGAATTACTGTGTCTCGTACCCTACTTAAGAGAAAGTGAAGGCTGTGCAGACAGGACAAATCAGCCAACCCAGCAGGGGGTTTGCTTACTCTGAGGCACTCGCAATTCACATCCTAGAAAGGGGCAATCATAACGAATGGTGCAAGTCCAATATATCAGCCAACATAAAACACAATAACTTCAAAAACATAAAAATTTCCCCTATGGTAACAAGAACATGTAAGTTCATACTGTAGTGTGACACCATACAGTCTTGTATGCAGATACCAATACTTCAAAGAATATGTTATCTACATCTTCACAACTGAAGTGTGTAGATTACAACTGGCTCCACTGTACAGGCAGCTTGTAAGGAAGACAGTCAATCAAAACCATGGAAGGGGTAAGAAAATGAAATCCAGTCCAGGCCAATGGGAACTGTAGGTAGAAACCAATTCCTCACCCTACACGCTTCAACCCTAAAGAAGGAGCAGCGTGTTACTCTGAAATGTTGATATCCACATACAAGTGTACATGTTGAGCACACACTGCCATATAACCTCAAAGAATACATAAGGCTTAGAGTATTATTACATGTTTTAAACAGCCCAGTCTCTATTTACAGTATCTGTGCTCACACGTGGACACAGGTTTGGAATTCAATCAAACACAAAATTACAATATAATACTTGAATTTGTAAATGTTCACTAAATTAAATAAAATATGTTTTGCTTAGTGAGGGGTGGAGTCCAGCTGGGTCCACTCAGCACGGCGGCCACTTATTGGCCTACTGTACCTGCCCCAGGTGATGATGATGCAGAATTTGTTGGAATGAAGATTTGAAGTAGAAACCGAAGTACTACTTGGAGAAAACCCATCCCAGCGCTACTTTGTCCACCCAAATACCACTTGACCAGACCCAGGATCGAACCAGGGCCGCCACAGTGGGAAGCCAGCGACTAACCACTTGAGCTATGGCGCGGCCCCAATAAAATATGTTACACATCTATAACATTATGACAATGAATCAAAACATACCAATCACAAATTTCCCTAGCTTGCCAAAGACAGCTACCACCGGAATCGTTAGATGACAGTCACTAATAACTTAATCACCCAGAATTACTTGGTTTCTAGACTTTTCCCCATCATCTGGCATTCTAGAAACTAAAAGAAACATTTCAGAAACTGGATCTGTTTCCATCCTCAGGTGAGGGGAAGGGGGAGACACCCAGAAAAAGACATTAGAAAATGCTAATCTCAGTCACTGGATTGAGGGGCCCAACAGAGTAGGTGTCTCCCCCTCCCCTCACCTGAGGATGGAAACAGATCCAGTTTCCAAAATGTTTCTTTTAGTTTCTAGAATGCCAGATGATAGACAGAAGCCCAAAAACCCAGTAATTCTGAGTATTATACACAATCATCAGAACCCTTTAGAACCAACTTCTCCACCACTTGTACACATAACCCATCCATTTACTGCACTAATATATTATCATATTTGAAACCCATTAACTATAAACAATTTATGTTTTTGTACTAAGAATTTCAGCCCAGGCTGTTGCAAAATAAGCATACATTTAGCTGTGCACACCTGCCTAGCCTGTTACTGGAAAATAGTTGCTGATATCAGAAAGAGGAAGGCCTGACTGACATAAAAATTAGTACCCAACAGAGACCACTGGGGCATACGAGTTGTAACACAAATGAAATGTTTGATATTCTGTAAAATAAAGTCTAATATGGTGACTGAAGTGAAAGGAAGCATGGCATTACTGCCATCATCATTTGCCAAAATATCTCTACAACAGATATCTCATGTCACTGTGCTTCCATAAATTACTGCAGTCCCTCCCCCCAGAAAGTTTATGTGATGACATATAAACATTTCCATTTTAATAGTCTATTTAATTTTGTAGTGCTACCACCAAAAGGTGGAACCATTCTGTCCTACTACATACAGTAAGTCATACTGATTTTGTACTACTCATTGGTACCAATTTTTCAGTCATATATCAACCAATGATATGAAAAACATATTCAGACATGATATCTGAACATAAAAGTATCTCACATATATACAGTCCCTACTACAAGTTTATAGTGTCTAAGAATAATCTTCTGGGTTATCAAACTGAGGAACCTCCTGCCTCCATTTTCTAGGCAGCAGAGAGAAATAGCTGGTTCTCCAAAAGACTGGTAACAAACTCAGCCGCCTGTTACAAGACACTGACTCGATCACATCTGATTCTTTTGGTGGAGCATATTGTGTAAATAACACTGTACACACAAACTGTGCAGACACTTCAGGACTTACAGCAGTGAATAACAGTGGCAACAGCAGCATTACTGGGCAAGATGGGTCAAGCAGTAATGCTCCAGACTTTTCTTCAGGAGGTGTCCAGGAAACCAAATATCCTAACAGATACTTTTCATGGTTTCCTGTCTCTCCAAGCTAATGACAGGAAAGCACCTCAAATCTGGCCACAACCAATTCCTTCCACATCTTTTCCAATTCATTATTCACTGGCATCCTAACATTTGATTCTACATGGCCTGATCTACTGACAGCATCTTAAATAAATCATAAATATATATGTAGAAAGAGAGGCATTGATAACAGAACCTGTATATGGCTTACAGTCAAGACAGAAATTGGAGAGTATCAATGTAATAAAGTGCACAGATGAATGACTTGGTTAGATGAAGCTGGGGATGATGCATTGGTGAAGATATGGAAGTTACAGTATCATTGCCAAACAAGGAAACAGGCACAAGGAAGCACATAAATATCTTACATACACAAATGCTCTCCTATTTGTGCTCCATACCATTACAAGTACACAACAAATATAATTTGTTTAGGACAGAACTCTGGATAGTATGGTAAGGAATGTCAATTGTCAATTCTGAAGATCTGCGCCTAAGGTTCCTTTCCCTAAAGCATTTGTGGTGTGCAAATTTTTGTTGCGTATATCTGCAAAACCACTGGCTTAAATGGAGCTGTTTTCATATAGCCACTCAGATATATGGAAACAGCTCCACTTAATTGTTTCTTGCATCCTGTTGTGTATTAATCAATATTAGAGTCAATTTTACCGACTACACAACACGTTTTTGTTATTATCACACTACATGTTTCGACCTCAAGAGGTCATCCTCAGGCGTACGAACAACTGTATAATTACACGCAATCACATTCGTTTTTCCACTTATTCAACCCTGTATCTTATTCAGGCTTACGCTCAATGATATATCAAGCTCTTCTTATAAAACACAAGTTAAAACATTATTCTAAATGTTAAAGGTTAAAATCTAAATTTTAAAATTTCGTGAATCGAAGTTCGACTCAGATCACTGGTTATACTTTCACTTTCACTTGTTTTTCAGTCACTTCCTACTTACGTTCACCACTGCGTCCAGTTCACCTCAACTAGTTTAATTACTACCACTGGTTAAATGTTCATGAATTAAAGTTCAACTTTATTATATTGAATGTTAAAGTTAATCTACCGACCACACAACACGTTTTTTATTTACTGCCACACTACATGTTTCGACCTCAGGAGGTCATCATCAGGTGTACGAACACAATTTCACAATCACACGCAATCACTTCCTTTCTCCACTAATTTCCATCCTGTATCCTGTTCAGATTCACGCTCAAATAATATGTATAAGTTCTTCTTATACCATATAACCATTTAACATTCGTCTAGTACACAACAGGATGCAAGGAACAATAAAAGTTTATTATATTGGTTGCACTTTCACTTTTTTTGGAGGTCTCGCTGTTCTTCTGCGTCCTCTGATGCTGCTGGATCTGTTATGATCCTTGTCGTGATGGCCATCACGATAATAATAAATAATAATAATAAAATAATAATAATAATAAAAACGTGTTGTGTAGTCGGTAAAATTGACTCTAATATTGAGCTCCACTTAAGTCATTGTTCGATAAGATGTGCCATAAACACTTGTAAAAAACCAGCCTACAGCAAACTTCACTGGTGTACTTTCCTAACCCCTTGAAGAGTTCTCTAAATGGCAGCAGGTCCTTGCCATTACAGTATGGTTACAGAAAATATTTTATTTCTTGATCTTCTATGATATATCTCAACAAACAAAATACATTCTTTAGTCAAAGACCAGAGAAGAGCTCCCATCTGTTGTCAGGGCAAAATAATATCACAATCTAAGTGCAAACTTCTACACATCTCAGAGATGTTAACTGACAATGGGAAATTCAGTAATTACAAGAATCTTAATGTACATTTAAAATCTCATTCTCTTCATTATTTAATGAAGAATCAATGGTCCTCTTAAATACCACCATAAATTGGATTAAGTTATGATCTCTGAACATTCGAACATGATCATCCACTGAGTGAGGCATCACCTCTAATGAATCACACACAGAACTGACTTTTGCTTTAACCTCACATAATAGTGACATAACAGTGACATGATTATAATTATGTAGTGACCTAAGTTTCCATACACCTATTTGAAAATTAACTATTTTGTCATTTTATTCCATTTTACAATTAATAAAACCAACACTATCAATGCAACTGGAGATAAATAAATTGTCAGCATATTTATTCCTCTCTGTTACCTCTCTCTAAATGTTTTGACCCCAATAATGACTCATCTTCAAGGACACCATTTCTAGAATACTAAAGAACTCTACTGATTGTAATATTCTTTGTTATTGAAGTATTTACATCTCATTCATCTTGAGCTACAAACTTTGAGAAACATATAACTGTTACTTCATGTCTAGACATACGAATCTGAACACAAAGCAGGGCAAATTAACATATTCCTACAACTTTTGCTGAATAGGTTGTAAATAATTTTAACAACAAATAATACTGTAATCATCAATTTTCAGTGGTGTTCTAGAAATGATGTCTCTAAAAACATCTTCTTAGGGGGCCAAACTACGCTGAGACAAAAAAAAAAAAAAGGATAAACTGACAATATATTCGTTCAGTACTTGTATTTGACTGTGATGATGTTATTTAATCATGAAAAACTGCACTTGACTGAAGAAGCTATAGTTCCAGGAGCTAATACAAATTTACGTTATCCCTGTGCTTAACTAATTAAGCACTATGCCATGAAGATGTAGGGAGGAGTGAATTAATAGACCCACATATTCTGGACCTCAACACTAGATGCAGGTGAGAGGTCAACTTCACGCCTCGGCCGCTTTACCCCCAGGGAAAGAGCCCCACCTCTTACCAGTATCCATTGGAGAGGAGGCTGTGTGGGCCCAAGAACTGGTCTGGATGACACAGAGGTAAGAAAAACCTTGCCCCTACTGTGATTCAAACTCTGACCCCTCAGCCATCCAGTTCATAGACAGTCACTATACTGACTGTGCTATCCCAGCTCCCTTCAGGAGTTAACGGTGCCAATTTACACTAATTTACAGAGTGTGTCCAAAATATTTTTATTTGTATTTCATTTTATTAGTTTTATTATAAATATTACTCTCACAACAGCAACACTGATCGGTAAGTAAGTAAAAAATAAAGTAAAGGTATCCCTGTAACAGACCATGGAGGCCCATACGGTTGTGAGATGTGGGGTTCCCACATTTTCTAGACAATCGGCTCACAAATGGCGGTAAGGTTGTCAGCCTTATGCGTCAGCCATGCTCTACTCCCCAGGAATATTACTATTACTAATTTCTGTTAGAACACTGATTGGTACAAAGTCATAAAAGAAAAAACATCTCTATGTAGTGCCAGTAAAAATTAAGCTGATTCTCAGCATCTGACACTTTGACCTGTAAAATGTAGCTATGCTCAGATGCAGAGGCAGAGGTAAAAGCAATGCAATTAGTGGAAGAAATTATAAATCTTCCTCACCTAACAATATGAAAGGAATTGCATTAATATTTGTATCTGGAATATATTTACAAAATAGGGACCAGTCACTTCTTGTTTTGCTGATACAATACAATATTTTTATATAGCCACAATATTAAAAGATATATTCTGTATTAGAATTATGGTAAGAGGTTAGTTCCAATTTAATTTATTGTACATTATATTTAAACCAAATCTAATATGCATAAAAAAGTAAAGTTGTCCCTGTCCTTACGTAATAAATTAAGCATTGTGTCATAAAGATGTATGGGGGAGTGGAGGTATAGCTCAAATATTCTTGACCTCAGCACTAGACAGAGGAGGGGAAACAGCCCCTTGTACCCATTGGACAGGAGGTAGGGTGGTCCCCAGAGCCAGTCTGGATGCTGTGGAGAAAAGAAAAATTTTGCCCCTGCCAGGAATCGAAGCCCAGTAATCCAGCAAAATCTATTCTATTTACTTGGTATGCATAAATAACTCAAATTCTGCAAATAGGTTAGTAGTACAGCAATCATGTGAGTGTATGCTACAGGGCTTATAATATGAATATGGTTTATCATGTCAAAAAGATGTTTCCACTACATATCTCAACCTACCCCTAAATATAACTCCTATCTTTATATTTGCCTCATACTCGTATTCTAACTTTTAGGTTTCATTAAATGTTCACCTCACTTTTAATTTGGTCTCAACACATGGAAAAAAATTACGACCTTGCCTTATACAGGAATGTAAAGGAATACTGATATTTTTTTACTTGAAAACAGCTCAGTTATTTAGTAGTCCACGCTTTTCAGCAGTGATATCTTCAATCAATCTGATAACAAAGGCATTAAGCCTCTCTCATGTCTTGGAATTCCTCACATGTCTTCACCCATTTAAAGCTGAGGGAAATTTATGATTCCATGGCAGACATTCAAATTCTCGTAACCATGTCCATTAACCTGGAAATCCCTGACAGAATATTCTCAAGACAGCATCCATCTAAAATTCTCTACAAAACTGCCATCACTGATTTCACATCTTAGAGAATGACACATTCATTCATTCATTCATTTATTTCCTTTATTTTCCATATATCCATACACGTAAAAAACCTAGGATGTGGAAATGGTTCTTTTGAAAATAGATATATCAATTATAGGAAGCTTCAGTTTCCTCATGTTTCTTTTGTGGTAGCTAAAACATTCCACAGAATTTAATGCAGTTTACGAATGTGTCCCATACTTGTCTATCCTTACCTTTTCATTCAATCTGGTGGTGAATTACTGCAGCAGTCATTTAGCTAGACCAAAATGCTCACAGAGCTTAAACATTTTATCAGTATTACAATCCTGTGGCGTGGATTCAATGTAGTGTGGTAGAAATGTACCACCATTTTGGAGGAACCTGCTGCCGGCATCTATACAGTAGCCCATACCGTCATATTCACTGCTATGATCTCAAACCTCACTAAAAGTTTTAATTTCACATCACTATTGATATAGACAGCTGACATTTCTTACTTTTTCAAGTGCTCTAATGTCTCAAAACATTAAGGCCCAACACCATCCAGCCAGCTTTGCCACCGTACAGAACATAAATGAAGGAAAAAGAACTAATTCTTCTTTTCACACCTAACCAAACCCTCTCACCAGAACAGGAAGTTGAAAATGTGCTTTTCTCCAGTTGAAATTTCAATGTTTTTGCTCCCTCTCCTACATTTTAGACAATATACTTTCATCTCAAAAGTGCACCCTCCCACAACCTTTGAGAAGATACAAATTTACACAAGGCATAACATACATACAAACTACGATCCATGTGAGTATTATTTCATGAACGTATACACCTGATGAAATGTCCTCAGAGATGAACACTGATTACAGGAGACAGACTAACCCAGAGTGGTCCACTGAATAACATTTTACATGAGCCAAAAAGTTATTTTTCCTTACATGGAAGCATACTCCATCACTATGTCATGGAAAATGTGTTAAGACGGGCTATTTACAAACAGCTGTTAACCAGGCCCTAGAGAGTACAGCAGTCACTATTACTAATTTTTCATAGTCTGTCATTTCAACTCCAAATATACATTTCTTGACTTCCAAAAATAGAGTGTGGTTTAACCCCAGCAACCTTTAAGGATGCACTACTCCTGTTAATTGCACATAAGTAAAATTGTTTACCATAATTTGTATATATTATGGGGGTTCTCTGGACACTGACATTAAAAAGGGGGACTGCAATGATACTGCACTCTATTATAAGAAATGGTACAATATGTACAGTCTATGACTACCCCAAACCCACGGTCAAAGCAAATTTTATTTTTACTGTACATAAAAAAATATTATACAAGTATTAACTTCCAAACATACCTCACCATCTGTGTCGTAGTAGAAGAGGTAATTTCGCGTCAGGACAAACCACCGCTGTTTATAGTTAACTGGAGTGAATCTCTTCTTATTCTGCGATCTTTTCACCATTAGACCTTGTTTCAATACTTCATCAGCCCCATCCTTACCAGCCATACTTTAACAACACTCACAGAATCAAGGCTGTACTGAAAATTAATAAGAAAAACTCAGTAATTTTACATGTATATGTAGCAGGGGTTACTGAAAAGTAAAAAGACTGGATTAAAGAACAGAAATGGGTAAGTCCATGCATCCTGATGTCACCAGTAACAAAAGCATATGTCAAGTGAGTTCAGTTCACTTTCGGTTGGATTAGTTCTGTTAACATTAATATTTGTTTTAAGTAGCATTCATCCAGAACTGACATTTTCTTTCCAGGGCCAAATAACATATTGTTTTCCTATCACTTGTAACATGTCACTAGGGTTCCAAATAAATAAAAGCAAAGGTAAAGGTAAAGCTGTCCGTGGTTTAATTATGCACATCACAAAGATGTATGGGAGTGGATACATTCTTAACCTCAGTGCTATATGGAGGAAACTGATTAGCTTCATGCCCCAGCTACTTGAGCCCTGGAGAGAGAGCTCACAATACCCTGGAGTAAGCCCCACAACTGGTCTGGACACCGTGGAGAAAGGAAAAATCCTTCACCTGCCAAGGATCAAACCTCAGTTATGCTTCCAGACCTGTAGCCTAATTTCTAGACTCAGTGAGCTACCCTGGCTCCTACCCACTCATCACTCACTCATGGAGCTGAGCACTTCTTGAGAAGCTACCAATTGTGCAGCTACTCAAGAACTTCCCAGTCTTTCATGGAACCCGAAGGTTCATTATTGTGTTCACAAGATCCCTCCACTGGTCCCTATCCTGAGCCAAATCTATCCAATCCATACCATCCCATCCTATCTCTCTAAGATCCATTTTAATATTGTCCACCCACCTACATCTTGGTCTTCCCAGTGGTCTCTTTCTTCCTGACTTTCCAACAAATACCCTATATGCATTCCTCGTCTCCCCCACTCGTGCTACATGCCCTGCCCATCTCACCCTCCTTGACTTAATCATTCTAATTATCCTTGGAGAAGCGTACAAGTTATGAAGCTCCTCATTATGCAGTTTTCTCCAACCTCCTGTCACTTCATCTCTCTTCAGCAAAAATTTCTCCTCAGCACCCAGTTCTCGAACACCCTCAGTCTATGTTCCTCTCTTAAAGTCAGAGACCAAGTTTCACACCCACAGAGAAACACAGGGTTCCCTAGGGCTACAGAAATACAACTTAAATCTACTGGCCACTTAAAATCAAATTGCCTATTATCTCACAGTATGCTTCATACACATTTTTATCTCAGACATTTAAAACTCTTACGTTAAGCGTTAAGATCAGTGAACAAAAGCATTTCAGTATATATCATTCTCACAGTTTTGGTTATGGAGAATCCTGTCCCTTGGGATACAATGCTATGTAGTCCACTGAAAATCAGTTGCCCTTCTCTGCTTTCTACCTGCTTGACTTTTCTTCAACCCTTAATATGAAGGAAAATGTTCTGAAACAGCAGTTGGTTTTCAACAGACTACATGGTGTTATATCCTGGAAGATATAACTCTTCAAAAGCACTTCATTCTCAAATTTTCTATCTGTTGTGTAAATAAATTATGTAAACATGCCATTAAAAGTCTCATACCCATTCCACTTATCAGATACTTATAATCATGTCAGTTTGACACACACCCACAGAGAGTTTCTTTGCAAATATCTTCTGTTCATCTAACACTTCATTTAATGTTGTTGTTGTTGTTGTTGTTGTTGTTGTTGTTGGAGAGGGTGGATTTCCCCATGCACTTAGACCAGATATTGGTCCAGTGTGCGTCCACCTGTGATATTCTACCAGTCTCTATACCCTACCGGCACTGGTGCATGACATCAGTCCCGACTCAGCCAGAAAGTTCAGCCTCTACTGGCTCAGCGGTATCTCGATGCTTCCCCCATCTACCAGAGGCATCAGAGACTACTGTTGGGCAGGAAATGTCCTGAATTTGGCTCAGAGGTCCCCTTGAGACATGAGGTTCTTTTACGTGCAGTAAAGCTACGACACGGGACCCACGGCTTAAAGTCCCTCCCGGAGGACCTGTTCCCTGAATTTTTCCACCCTTAAAAATTCCACGATCTCTGCCGGGTTTGAACCCACGTACCTTGAGTCACAAGGTGGGAACGTTACCCCTAGACTACTGAGGCACTCACTTTCCGTAACTATTCCACTAATTCTGGTTTTGTGTCAGAGCACAGGACACCCACAGAGTTAGAGTAGACGGGCACCTGTCTGAAGAAGTTAGAGTGATGTCGGGACTGCCGCAAGGGAGCGTTTTAGGACCGTTACTATTCCTAGTTTATGTTAACAATATTTGGAGGGACACTGACTCAAATATCTAATTATAATCTTTAAGTTGCTTTAGAGATATTGGAGGTTATATGTTCCTCACTAGAGTCTCCAAAACTGACCAGAGTGGTTCAAGGATGTTCACATCTGGTGACTGATGGCCAGGAAAGAAGCTGAAGTTCACCTTCATGCTCTTCAAACCATGACTTAACAGTTCCAGCTGTGTGAAAGGGAGCACTGTACTCCTGGAAAACTGCAATGTTGTTCAGAAATCATGGCATGCGCCTGATTACCCAACCTATCCATGTAGTCTCTTGCAGTAGTAATTCGGGCATGAAGGGTAATACTGAGACCAACAGAATACTGCACAACAATACTGCTGCTCAAACCATCACAGAAGCTCCCTCATGTTTCACTGCTGCAACCAAACCAGGCATTCAGGATTGTACGCTTCTTTCGGGGTTGTCCAAACGGAGACTCTTCCTGATGTAGGGAGCTGCATTAGCGATGACTCATCTGACCATATCACACGCACAATTCCACTTGTCTGATGTCCAGGTTTTACGGTCATGACACCATCATTAACACATCTGAGCATTACTTTCAGTAATAAGAGATTTAGCAACTGCAGCCCTACTGTGGACATTGGATTTGTGAAGCTCATGTTGGACAGTTCTTGTGGACACAGGGTCTTCATGATAAATATTCAGTTCTGCTGTCACCTGCGTTGCAGTAGTACTGTGATTTTTTTAAACAATCCTTCTCAATGCAAGACGATCTCTTTCTGTCAATGCTGATTTTTCACACTGGTCCTCTTCACTGATGTTGTCTTCCCATGATTCATGTACACTGACATAACCTTAGAAACTGTCACTCTTAATACATTTAAAAAAGTGGCAGTTTTTGTCACAAATGCTCTAGCTAAATGTGCACCAATGATCTGTCCTCTTTCAAAATTGGACAAGTCTCCCATTTTCCAGTTCTTTCACATGGACTGTCACTCAACAAAATCACTAATGCACTGATGTACACTATAGAGTGTACAGAACTATTAGGCTCATTTTGGACTCTATCCATCGTCTGGTATACAGAAGACAAAAAAAAAAACACAGAGTGTAATCAAACAGAAGAATAACATTCACTGTTGCCAACCGAAGTTCTTTCAATGTAGCCAACACAGATAAATTCCATTCCGCAGTTTCTTAGTGTGTATATTATTTTGTTCACTCCTTGTATGTCACAAGTTTTGAAACACAAAGAGGCATATTACACCTCTAAAGATGTTAATTAAATACCATGCAATAAAGAACTGACGGGAGATGAAGAATAGCTTCACACATTCTCAACCTTGGTACCAGGTGGAAGTGAGTCATCAGCTTCAACCTCTGAATGTTTAACCCCAGAGAAAGAATCCATGGTACCCTGTGGACAGGAGGCTGGGTGGACCCCAGAGCCAGTATGGATGCTGCAAAGAGAAAATATCAGTGCTTCTGCCAGAAATCAAATCCTAATTCCTCCATCATCCAGCATGCAGCCTAGTCTATACTGACTGAGCTACCTTGGATCTTTTGAGCAACATACTAGTCAAAATATGAAGATATGGCTCTTCACTGTGAGCAAGGGCACAAATCCACTCCATAACCTACAAAATTACCATTCAGACATAGAACTGATTGTACACTGGAGTTACGGTAGCTAAGTCAGTATAATTACTAGGCTATGGACTTCACAAATGACAAGTCAGTTCAATTTGCAATAGAAGCTGAGAGTTTTCTCTTCTCTGTAGTGTCCAGACCAGGATATCGGGCCCACCCAACCACATACTGAATGGATACTGGGTCCTCTATTCCCAGGCATGATTTTCACCACTCACCTCTTTCTAGTGCCAAGGTTAATAATGTGGGTGCCACTTAACTACATACCTTCATGGTACAGTGCTTAAACAAGAACAGGGACAAATTTATTTTTTCATCTTTAACTTGAACCTGAACAATGAATGAATATACATTACGTTTTCTACTAGTCAGTACAGCAACTGACTACAGGATGAACAGCTGAGGGGCCCAAGTTCAGGTCCTGGTAGGGGCAAGACTTTCTCCCCTCCATATCATCTAGACTGGCTCTAGGGCCCACTCAGCCTCTTATTCAATGGATACCAGGGGGGCTATATCAGCATGGGTAAAGCAGCCAGGGCAGACTGCAGACTGGCTTTTGAGTCCACCCAGCCTCCTATAAAGAACATAAGCTACTGAGGGCTCTTTCCCAAGGGGTGAAAAGGTAAGGTCATGAATGTTATATGTTAGCGTCCTGATACACTGATTCATGTCCATGGTTTATGCTAACCATCTTACAGTGTATACACTTTTTGCACCTTATTCTTCACTTCCACACTACATGTTTCAGCACTAATGTGCCTTCCTCAGGTGTCTTTATGCACATTAAACTATTGTACTGCATGCCATGATGTCTTCATTCTAAAATGACTAAAATCTGTATTCATCAAATATGTCGATGAATTGTAAATAATAAAACTTCTCATGATTCATCCTACATCACTCAAACACGCGAATTATGCCAGTCCTCTTCTATGTGAGCATTCTTCCTACATACATTTGTGTATCGTGTTTTGCTCCTGTTACTGCATGTGTTGTACACAAATGTATGTAGGAAGAATGCTCACATAGAAGAGGATTGGCGTAATTCGCGTGTTTAAGTGCGACGTAGGATGAATCCTGAAAAGTTTTATTATTTACAATTCATCGACATATATGACAAATACAAATTTTAGTCATTTTATAATGAAGACATCATGGCATGCAGTACAATAGTTTAACATGCATAAAGAAATAAAGGATGGCACATTAGTGCTGAAACATGTAGTGTGGAAGTGAAGAATATGGTGAAAAAGTGTATACACTGTAAGATGGTTAGCATAAACCATGGACAAGGTCATGAAGTTTACCCCTCACCCGCATCTAGTGACAGATTTATCAATGGTGGAGCTATGACTCCACTCCCACATACATCTTCATGGTAACATGCTTAATTACTTAAGAACAGGGCCAGCTTTACCGTGCATGTCAAGCATACAATATCTCCAAAGCAGAATTAATGTACTTATAAGATAGCTTTTATTTTATGTTAAGGAACAGGTGCAATAATATAGACATCCTTCAAGGCATCTCCTCTACCTCCTAAGCATCCCCACTGTCCAGTTTGGTTGAACTACAAAACATAGCTAAAGGAAACGATTTTTCAGGATATTAAACCTGATAAGGAAGTATAACATGACCTAAATAAAATTCTCTGAAGGACCTAAATGGTGCACTCTCAATCCATTGTTTGTGAGCACTTCTACCTAGGAACCAAATGACAGTTTCCTGCAACTAACGAATTATTTTAAAAACTATGATGATGGGCAAATGCGAAAGAATATTCTTAATGTGTCAAACCATTGTGAAAAACTTTTAAACTTTGTTTCTGGTGCAAAAGTTAGTAACATTATGCAATAATGCAATTCTGATGAAAATACTATAAGGAAGGCCATGGAACAAGAAAAGGGGGCCCCCAAAAGGCAGTGGAAAGTTGCACCAGTTTTTCAAATTTTCCCATGCTATTTTATGAAACAACTACCGCAATTATGCGAGTAACCAATCCTGGGCTCAGTATGCATGCGATACAGTGACACACATTCTCAGATCCCATCATGACTAAACATCCATTCAGGCACATTCATGCTGTGTTATTCTTGCTACTGCTGCTACTGTAGTTGTTACCACTGTCTTCAATACATTAAGCCTGAAGTTTCCATGTAACTGCAGACTTGGATTGTATTCTTCTACATTATGATACTGTACAGCCTGATAGTTGGGTACCGCTGTTTCGTAGGAACATGCTCCCTCCATCTTCTGGGTAGATATCCTATCGTGAAGAGACTGTGTAGCCTGGTATGTGCATAGCAGCGTTTAGGAGAAATATGCTACCACCATCACGGGGATAGATTGATCTCCTACTAAACGTTGGTAACCACCTACCAAGCTACATGTTGTCATAATCCAGAAGACCACAACCTAAATCATTAATACACTTTACCTGCTTAGAAAAATCAAATATTCACCTAACATAGCACAGAAGTACCAGAACTTCTCATTATCAGAAAGTTGACTCTGCACAATGCAACTATCTTCTGGATCATAAACTAAATTTCTACGACGTTCCCTGGAACATAACTGGTGCTCGGACACCATACGATATAGTTTCTTCAATATTCTTTTCATATGTTCCCTTACCTAGAAAGTTCTGTAATAAAGATGAAGTGAACAATATTTGATAAGCCACAAATCAATCACATATTCGCGGTAGAAAAGTAATACACCATAATTTAACATACAGTCATATTAACCTCTCCAAGTAAAATCACGAACTACAACAGCAATCAGCCATATTAAGCTGCGGTACATGCCTTTCGCTCAGATGGCTCAGATTCACTCACAGCTGCTCCAATCTCGTAGAGATTCTAGGATTCTAGGAGTTCGAGGACCATACGTAACCAGCCTTCAAGCCTGTGCTGTGACGTTTAACTATTTCAGCACGATCACAACTAACTAGCTAATAGGTATTTATTATTTGGACGGATTTATTAATACAAAGCAATAAGGCACATGACATGATAAAATCGGCGTTGGAGAGTACCATTTTCTGGAATACGCGGCGTATAGTCTAGTAGAAGTCAAGCGACGTTTCGGAGGAAGGTGCTGCATCCATATTCAGGGCCGAAGTGACTAGAGCAAGCATCAACTCAGCTGAAAGTAGAGTACGTCCCTCCGAAGCAACTGTTAACTTCTACCTGACCACACTGCGTGACAACCCCGGACAATACTCATCATCAGGGCCCAGATTTTGATGACATGTCATCTTTCTTTCCTTGTATCCTATGCGATGCTCTTAAATATGTAAATGTCGGGTATGAGCTGCTGGTTACAGAAATGTAAATTTTATAGGTATTTTTTTGGTTTAAGGTAATTTTTTCATTTTTGGTAATTGTTCGGACTTTTAAGGGCATTTCTTGTCATTTTTGGCCATTTTAGGGAACTTTTCTTCATGTTTTCCGAAGTGTGAATAACATGGAAGCGAAGTGTCCTTTCTGTTCTCCTTTTGGTCATTTTTCTGGATTTTTTTTCGGTCATTTTTGAATATTTTCAGGTCATCAAAATTCGGGCCCTGCATATTACATTTTTGGGTCATATTTTAGGTCATTTTTTTTTAAATATTTTCAGGTCATCAAAATCCGGGCCCTGCTCATCATATTCAACGCAGTGAGAACCTTAAACTTCACAAACTGACACTGATTTTCGGACTTCCGTCAAAAACGAAATGATGTGAAATCGCCATCATATTTTGAATAGTCAGTCAATTTTTTTTTTAATTCTCTTAATGGGGAGTGGAGTCCAACTGGGTCCACTCGGCATGGCGGCCACCGATTGGCCTATTGTATCCTACACTGGGTGATATGATGGAGAAATTGGTGGAATGAAGATTGTCAGGGGAAACCAAAGTACTCGGAGAAAACCCGCCCCAGTGCCACTTTGTCCACCACAAATCCCACTTGACCAGATCCGGGATCGAGCCCAGGCCACCGCGGCGGGAAGCCAGCGACTAACCGCTTGAACTATGGTGCGGCCTTGAATAGTTAGTAAGGCCATGATATCTTTCAAATCCATACAACAAAATTAAGTTTTTCTTTTGTTTTTAACTATAGGCCTACAGACAGACCACCAAAAAGAAACATATTCTCTCACCACTCCCGCAAACAAAATTAATTACAGCCTTAAACTACCTACCTGCCTACACACAGAACAATACAAACACGGAATAAACACACACAGTTATCCATGTTTCTAGCAGGATTCAAACCCATGATCCCAGTGTTCATTTGGGTGAAGACAGTTCATGCCTTAGATTGCACGGCCACTGTGATCACCTAGGAAGAGGGGGTAGCAAAGGTACAAGAAACAGACTATTCCCTGTTGAATTTCAATGGCAGAAATAAATAATCATGTGTGTAGGTACTTTGGCATGGAGAGTGGGGCCTCAAACATGCCTGATCCCTGAACCTCTGCCTTCTGACAATCTAAATGTAATTCCAAATACAATTAGTTTTGCCAAAATATTGTTGTTAATGCTACGCAATGATTCTTTAACAGCGGCATGTGCTATGTAAAGTCTGCAACAATAAAACAACGGGGTTATGTGACCTGTTTCTAGGCAACGGATCAGTAAACATGACTTGGAGACAGTGTTTTCTATTCGGTCCGCATCTGCGCCCATGGTCAGTTCCTGAATTTATGACATACTACAACAGACCCAGACTGGGTTGTGGGCTGGATGACCGAGAAATTGAGTTTCAATTCCAAGTAAGGGGACAGTGTCCAGACTAGCTGTGGGGGCCACCCAACCTCCTAAAGGTATCAGGGGCTCTTTTGCCAGCACTCCCCCATATGTCTTCATGGGGTAGTGCTTAACTTGTTGAGCACAGGGACAGAGACAGTGACCACTCTCCTCCCATAACTAATACTACTTCTGTTCTTTTGTCCAGACCCATGTTCATTTGCTGTTACTGCAGGAAGAGTTTAAAATAAAACTAGAAACTTGCACAAATAGTTTCATTTATATAGTTTATATTTATGAGATGTTTCTAACATTGTATACAACATTTCCACCAACTTTTCCTCTCCACAATATCAACTTCTGATCACAATGTTTCTTCTAAAGAAAGAAAAGTGTATCAATTATATCTATCCATAATGATTTTAATACAGCGTTATTACAAACACTGTTACACTTTCAAGAAATGTTTCACAAAGCTTATTCCACTATATTTCTTTGGAGTCATGTTACAGAATCTGTACGTATACGTTCCACTGACAGAAACTTCAAATGAACTGTAAAATTCAGGCTACCCATTAATTCAGTTGACTTGCAAATGTTATGCAATGTATGGGAAGAGCTAACTTACCATTACATCTGCAGCTTGTGAACTCTTTGAGATTTTCTTAGTGGTGTAATTTTCACTTTTGTGCATGTATCAGTATTTATTTTTTGTAATAAGTGTATGAAAGTGTAAAGATCATTTGTAATAATCCTGTATTATACTAACACACAGCAGTTCCATACATCTTATACTCCATTCACTCTCATTTTCTGTGACAATTCACAAGACAGTAGAATTACGTAGCCATGCCAACTCAACTGCCTCAGCAAAGTGTTACTATTTGAAACAATTAGTTTTCAGGTTTTGGTAGCAACCAGTGTTCAGATTGTAGTCTTTTGGGTTGTGGAGGCATGTTGCTTCCATCTTCAGGGATAAAGTGACTGTGGTGAGGAAGCAGTTACACTATATTGGCATTGCAAGGGATATGCTCACTCAGGTCCATGGGAGATGGGAGAAGAGATGGAGCCCAGTTTGGGCATCAGAGAAATGAATACAAAGTGTGAGACAGAAAGTGCCATTACAAGGGACCTAAATAGTTATAGCGCAAGATAAACCCCTCTTACAATGTAACTTGCTTATATAACCTGACAGCGTTCCCATCAAACTCATTCTGGCCCTGAAGATGGAAACTGCATGTTCCTCTAAAATTTTGGTCTCCCTCTACAATATTACATGATGTTATAATACAGATGGCTTCTCACTGTGGACGCCCTGGTTCAATCGCAGAGAGAACAATGTGGGACTTTTGATAGACAAAGTGGCAATATGGCAGGTTTGTCTCAGAATACTTTAGTCTTCCCCTGCTAATTATCAATCCACCACCACCACAACCCAGAAGATTACAATCTGAACACTTGTTCATATTCCTTGTTTATTTTCAAGTCAATCCCCTTGTAGGGAATCTTTACCTCCTCAAGTTGCCTATCTTGGGCTTGAATGACTGATGTCTTCTGTTTACAACATCACATACTGATCTGAAAATAGTTTGAAAGAATATCTTGAATTCTTTTAATAATACAAGACATAAGTCTAACTTTACATAAACACCAAATTATTGAATCAAATAAGTAGGACCTACTAGCCAGATACAACTATGGCAATTAATTGTTGTTGCAAATTCTGTATCCTCAGCAACATATCTTGGAGTAGACAGGAGAAATACAGTTCATTCTTTACATAAAATGACATTTATATAATGATACTTACAATCTAAATAAGTCTAACATACAGTACTTTCTAATAATGCATGCTAAAAATTATTATTGTATGGTTGCAAGTTACTGATGGAATGGAAGGACAGGACTGAAAAACTGTAACAGGTATACAATTTTAATATAAGACTGTCTTGTACGTATGATATCTCAACAAAGAAGATATCAATACTTAGTTTAATGTAACAACAATGTTATACTTTATACTTTCCTGGGCAGTGTTAGGCAGTAACAAACAGATAAAATTATTTAATAATGACATTCTAAGAATAAGGGGGCTATGTATTATTACAGAATACTAATGGAAGTTGTACAGTAACATCTTTCATATGGTTTGGTCTGGCCACATATTTCTTTTGTTCAAACTAATTATCTTTACTGTATCTCTTGTATTCTATAAATCCATTATTTTAAATATATAAGCCATAAATTCCATATTATTTTGCCTCTTTGTGCTAAAATCTTACTTTTCTTATATTCAAACTTATGTTCCATACATACAAGCCTATGCCAAGGAAGTATTTTGGACCATGACTGAGATATCCTCCACCCAGCTGGTAATTTGCACCCCCTGTTGTTTGAGTCTACAGAATTACAACATAATATGAATTTGAATCCCTTGAATGCATAGCACAAACTCAACATATTTTCCTGAAGAGCCAAAGCCACAACAGCAATGCAGTGACAAGTCTGTAATTCCAGGTGACCAAATACTCATAAAACAACTGTTATCTCCCAAAACACATAAATATCACGTACTGAAGCAAACATTACTGTAGAAAGAAATATATACACATTTTGTGCCAATTAGATTTAAAGTTCTTGGTATCTAAGCCAAGAAATGTGAAGACTGGCAGCGTTTGCACAGACTATTACAGTGTACAAAATGTGTTCTAGTGAGGACCATATTAAGACAATTTTTTGTGGGTTATTTAACAACATTTTCAGCTTGAAGTCTGAAGACTTTCATAAGCCCTAGGCACAATGGCTTGCAGGTTTATGAGCAAGAGTGGTGAACAAGTGGGCAGATAGATAACTATGCAGAGAACATCCTAGATTACTTAGTGATGCTCAAAACAAGTATATCTGCTTAAATTTTGAGTTCACGAAGTTGACATGATTACAGTACTTTCTCAAATCAAACAATCTCTTCTGACTGAGGCACTGCTTCAAAATCCTTTGCAAAGTCATCATTTTTTGTTTGTTTTGTAAGCCCTAGGCATAGTGCCTATAATGTATAACCCATAATATGGTCCTGAGTCTATTACAAGAGACAAGCACGTGTTTACATAGTACACAGTGGGATCATGGCTACGGCATGTTCTGCAACACATCATGCAAACGCTGATCACTTAATGTTTCAACATAACCGGAAGTTTCACCATTGTCAGCTTTCTTCTTAGTACTACACATTATAGTTTAAGACAAAATAATAAGGCCTACATGTAATGACAATGATGCATGAGCTGCCATCATATAGGGCACAGTAAAATCATAACATTATCATCATTACAAAAAACTTCTTTGTGAATAACAAATACTGCAAATCTTGCATAATTTGTTTTTACTTATATACAAACAGGTTTAATATTACAACAATATATAAAGTGTTCAGTTCAATTTTTATCTCAATGAATATAGAACAGTAATTATCAAAGCTCACCATTCCAAAAACGACACCTTTTAAAATATCAGAATATGTGTACCCTCCAACTAAAATGTTATTCTTTCCAAGAATTTATTCCTTCAGTTAAGATGATGATGTGACATAATGCTTAAAGTACTATTTTTGGGCTTTGTCCATTGTCAAACTTCATTAACATCACTATGTTTTTAAAATTTGTTCTATTTTGGTCTCAATGTGAAGAAGATATGAAAGAAAATCTGGTTTTACACCATGGACCATGTTCTAGTACAGGAAGTTTTGTTTTGTATCCTGTTCACTGGATAAAGTACAAAATAACAGTTTTAAGCAATTTGTTCTTTATTTTTCTCCCCTTCCAGAGAACTACACAATCTTCCCATATCCTTGCAAATTATTTTGCAATTGGAAGGAAAAGAATCTAGGGTAGGTATGAATATATGTCTAAACCAGTGATTCTCAAGTGTGGCCACTAGCTATTTTCATGAATAATGCATGGAAAACAGAAGTAACACATTGAAGTTTTATGATAATCTATTTTCTACAAGCACAGCATAAATTCCCTATCTAAATGTTGTTTAACTCATTAATCCAAGATTACTATATATACCACCTGCTTTAATATTAAAACCTGACACTTTGTCCACAGATCATATGATTTTCAGAATAAAGAGCGAATAATTCCCTTAGTGGCATTGTGCTGGTAATTCAGTGTATGTTCTGTGTGATAGGAACTCAATTTTTAAACGTCAAATGATTGACTTACTTTGTACATCTCGCAACACTTTTAGCCCTGACCATTCTACGTCCAGAACATTTTTGATGTTTAATAACAAATTATTGCACCCACAAATATACATATTCATGCCAGAAATTTTGGAATGTTTCAAGAAATGAGCACTAATATTACTGTTTTCTAGAATTCTGAATTTCTTACATTTCATGTCTCTTGGAGTAATTTTATTGACCGTGTCATGAAACCTCTTAAGTGATTTTTTTTTTTTTTTTTTTGGTGAGCAGTGGATTTGAACACTAAACTGAGGTAAATCTTAAATGGGAGGAATTCAGCATTTAGATTCTTGGGCCGAGATCTGTTAAATTGAATGTTAAATGAGGGAAAATCAAACTGAGGAACTTTACATAAGGGCTCCATTTTACATCCACTAAGAAACAAAACCAGAGTAGTAACTTTGGTTGCCACATCACTGGACCATATAGTAATTTCCCTAGTTTATTACTGCTGTAGCCTTTAACTGTGTGTTCTTACTGTGGCTACCATGTGTAATTGCAGAACAATGGAGCAGAGTCATAAAGACAGAGTGTGAAATTTTTACTTCATTACTGTACAAAAGCATGGCACAAATGAATAAGTGCACTTATGTGACTGTTTGTTCCTAAGTGAGCTAAAAGGAATGAGTACTCAGTGAAAAAGCATTTTCAAAACTGTAACCAGATAATGATTTTTCACAAATTTTAAAATATGCAAAATGACTTATTAAATTGCTTGTTCCCTGAGATCAACAGGCATCGATGTAATATAACATTGATAGGACTCAGGAGTGTTGACAGCGAATGCAGCTGTAGATTGTTTTACTTGAGAACCACTGATATATTTTTGCTTGTTTATTTAACAGTACACTAAGAAATATAGAAATACGATGGTTATACAGCACTGAATGGAAAGATAACATGAATGATGAATTGGAAACAATGTGGGAGTCCTAACTTCCTATTGTTAAGTATTATTCACTTGGCAGAACTGAGGAGAACCACCAAAAACCTCAGTCAGGACAGCTAGCTGTCTCTGAGCCTGGAATCTCTTGAATATGAAGCAAGAGTATCAACTAACAAAAATGCTGGGTACTGTAGACCTAAATTAGAAATTTACTGCAACAACATTTCTATAAAACAGATAGGTTCCACCCACGTAACAGTTTTATGAATTTGTCTTAAAATTACAATAGTATACAAAAAATTCTATTACTGCCCTTTTCTCGTGAAGTGCCAGAAACATTATGCGTACGCTAAAGGAATTGTGAAGCACAGCTTAGGTTACCACTATTGTGAGGAATTATCTGTATGCATACAGCGAGATATGAGGAATGAGATTTGCATTTCAGTGACTTAAGTGAAGCTTATGTACATATGTCAAGCTGAGAAGTCTTCTTCAGATAATAACACTTCTGTTTTGTACACTGTCCATTACGTTCTTCATGACAGTTCAAAACAATGCTTCCAACTGCCAGAGTTATGATCTAATACTAATAATAAACAACACATCCATGACCAGACACATCATTGCGTTCTAAAAGAAAACAGAGAAACAGTTTACCTTCTAACATCATAATTTTCACACTATTTTACAGTTCTTATTCTCCTAAAACCAAATACTGAGTGGTGCAAAAGTTACTGCCCATTCAAGAGTGTTGGTTGGCTACTGTATTGATGTGTGTCAGAACAGGTCACTACCCATCTACCTGTTGTGCTAGCATATTGATGCATGCAGATGCAATTGTTGTGTTCTGTTCTGCATCATAAATGTGTTTCATGTATGATTAGGTTGACTAAACAAAAACAGATTTTTGCTTTAAAAATGTGTTACAAATGTGGTTCTCCAGCAATTGTTGTACAATGGCATGATCATTTTGATTCCGTGCCCCCAACANTCGATACGCACTGTGCATCCACTTATATAGCTGCAGTGCTTGCCTGTGGCGTAATGAGTGCCACGTCACAGTAGGACGTTGATTACGGTTACGTTAGCGTTGCGCGTTACGTCACCGCGTGACGTCACCGCGGAGGGGAGTGGCGGGGAGCGCTACGTTACCGTGGAGAGGAGGGGGGAGGGGGGTTCTCAGTCGCGCAACATGTTACACTATGTTAATGATGAATATGGTATTGTCTTTGATTCCCCAAGAATGTGTAGAACCAGAACAGCAAGGTCAGAGAGGAATAGAGCAGTACTTCAGAGCCATATGAATTCTACTTGCAGGCTTGCTCTGAGCCAAGAAGTCTCTAGACAGTCGGTTCAATTGGATATTACATGAAGCCAAATTTAAGCATCACATTTTGAGATTAACTGATGGGTTGCTGGAAAACAGTCCCGAATGCAGACACCACTTTTGTGAGCTTATGTTAAATTGTATGATTTTAAGTTCTCACAGCGGTACTTATGAAGAGTTCTGTCTTTTGGGATATACGAGAGTGTAGCCCATTCAAAGTCAACCAACATTTCTGAGGAACAGGACTACAAATGCACCAAGACAATTTTAACAAGTTCCAGCAAGATGGCACTCCTCCCCACTATGATATATGTATAAGTGAATTCCTGGACAATGCATTTAGGAGGAAAGTAATATGCAGATGCAGGTCAATTGACATGCCACCAAGGTCACCAGACATAACACCCATGGATTTTTATTTCTGTGGTGCTGTGAAGAATACAGCATGCACTACAAAACCAAAAATGATAGGCAATCAGAAATTAGGAACAGAGGATGCCTTTGGAAAAACTGGAAAAGACGTACAGCTTTGCAAAGAGATTTGCTCAAGTGATCCTGAACATCTTCAGCAATGCAAGAATTCAGAAGGCAGTCAATTTGAGCATCTAAGGTACACATTAATATGTAAATTAGAATAATAATACTAATAAAAAAATAAAATGACTTCATTTTTAAGCCCACTGGCAATGACTTTTGCACCATCTTGTACACTGCACATATTTATTACCTTAAATTCTCATTCGAAACACAACAGCTTTATGTTAGGCTCATTTCTCTCAACATGAAAACTCCCAAGACGTCAACTGTCAACATTTCTGTAAAAATTATGAATGAGCTTGCTAAACTCAAAATATTTCAGTGTGCATACAGACACACACACACACACACACATATAAGCTCCTTGCAGTTTTAACTTGTACGCACTTTCTATTCAAAGAAGTGGTTTGATAATTTTTATATCAAACTGCATCATACAACTCACTCAAGCATCCTCCACTGTTAAATTCAGAAGGAAGGAAATCCTAGCTTGGCTGGAGTGGAATTCATACAATCACAGTGAATTCCGGTGCAATGGTGAAAGATGCTGGTGAATTCTTGTTTGCTCATGAAATGGCAACAGTAGTATTTAATAAATCAAAGTTGATTTAATTACCTATTGAACAACATTCCTCTCAATGGGATGCTGGTTGTTGTTAGGTGAGTCAAGTTGTTCAAATGGGCTGCTTGGAGTGGATGGTGGTTCTGTGGTTATCATAACACAAGAATTGTTTTCACCCTGAGATACCACAGTCTTTTGGGTGCCTTCTTCATCTAGAGCAGTTTCTCCGCTTCCCTCATCAGAAGCAGAATTTCCATTTCTCACACCCTCATTAATTTCATGATCTTCTTGTCCATTTTCAACAGCTGTACCACAAATATCTTCTGTCATACCTTCTCTGCTACCATCAGCATCATTTTGATTTTGCTCCACTGAAAAATTCACTTCACCCTGGTCTGAAGTATAATTTCGTTTATCAATTTCTGTCTCTGTTTCACCTCCTTGTTCTGCAACTGTCCTCAATACACCATCAACCAGGCTAGTAGCAAACTGCTGCAGTTCTTGTGGAGCATCAGATTCTGGAGCTGAAGAGTTACGCAGAGCTGGGGGTAGGCGAGATTGTGAAATAGGGAGGGATGATGGACGGGTGGATGGAGCTGCCTTTTGGTAAGGAAATGGCATGCCTGGTCCAGATTCCATCTGTGGTGTGTGAACTGCTACTATGTCTGTCTGGGTGCTACCAGTGACAACACCGTCGGCTTCTGCTTCACTTGTAAGATGAGGAATAACAACTTGACCTTTCTGGCAGAACAGTGACATACACTGCATCACACTCTGCATCGAGTCCTGCAGTTGCTCAACCTGTAGGATAATTACAATACGTTCAGAACTTTCCTGAAGGAACATCATATGATATCACACCCCATATCTAAGTAAACCTCCATGTTATGACCCTTTGGCTTCCCTCAATGTGTCATTTCTACAATGGAAGTTATCAGTATTCATGCAACAAGGTGACAGAGGAGAAACACAATTTTTAAGCTTAATAAGACTACAAAAAGATCATCAGTCATATTCCTCTCAGCCTGAATGACAAATTAAAAGGCATGATGTGGACTTGAAGTCACTTTTACTGTTATTCCAACGTCTCCTTCAGATGAACTACATTGCTTGAAAAATACAGATCTAATGAGTCATGGTAGTAGAACCATTATATCTGGTAATAAATGTCTTATTTGGTTAGCACAATGTTACCACTAAACTTAAAATGAAAAGGAATATAAAATCTATCAGTGTAATGACAACCAACTACCAGAAGACAGGAGCAGAGCCACCTCTTGAAATGTTATGTATAAAACATCAAATAAACTTAAAAACATGGGCAATGTTCAACATAATAATGATATAAATGTATTTTATTAATATTTTATAAAATTATTTAAAAACAACTCTAACTGACACCTTTTTCAAGTATGAGGTTTCTTCAAAGAGTTCCTAGAATTTGTCAATAATAAATTTATTTCAAGAGTTACAGCACAGTTACACTCCATCCCCTTCCAAAAACATCCCTGAGCAATAATGCACCATTCCCATTGCCTTTTCATGTTTGGCAGCACTGTTCAAAAGATGTCTGTTGATCAGTTCATCTGTCATAATCATAATGATGTCCTGTGCTGTTTGAAGTCTTTTTCTGTTCAGGGGTCATTTCTATTTTGGCAAACAGAAAAAATGTGTGGAGGGGACAAGTCACGTAAGTAGGGAGGCTGCAGAAGAACACGAATTGAATGCCTTGCCAAGAACTCTTCAACAGACAATGCTGTGTGAGCTGGTGCACTGTCATGTTGGAGATACTATATTACTGCAGTCCACAATTCTGGCAGCTTTCTTCATGCCACACAGCTTACATCCCTCAGACTTCCAGATAATAAGCACAATTAATCATCTTACCTGTTGGAATGAACAAGTCGTGAACAATGCTGAGATAACAGAAAAAATGATCAACACTGTTTTCACTTCCAAGCACACTGGTCACGCTTTTAAAGGCATAGAAAATCATCACCATTCCACAGTGATGAATATTTTGTTTTGTCACATTGATAAACCCAAGCCTCACCTCTGGTGATGATGTTTTGAAAAAAAAAATCCTCATTACAGCACTGCAAAAGCCTTCACAAATTCAAATGTGTCAAATTATATGACCTTCAGTCAACAACCTTGGCACGAATTTCAGTGATACCTGATGCATAGCTAAATCTTATCTTAAAACTGTGACACGGGAAAATAGATAATCCAGTACTTTCTGCTACTTCTTGTAGTCAGTCAACAATCTGCATGGATAATTTGCTTCTTGTAAGTTGTCATTTTATTCAAAGCCTCATTTCCATAAGCTTCATACAGCATTCTGTGGGTTTCTGCAGCTGCTTTACCCTGTTTATAACTCTGCACAAGTTCTTTGCTCCTTTACACAAAACATTATCACAGCATGGCAAAACTATAACCATACAATCATGTAAATAGTAATAACACTACAAAACATCTGAGCTATTTTGAAGAAATTTTGTGTGTAAGTATTCTATGCAAATCTACAAGTGCAAGGCTGCTGACACTCCATGTGGTCATTCTGGGAACTTTCTCATTAAACCTCATATTTCTCACTCACCACCTTCAGCATCTACTGCCATATGTCTAGTGCCTCCCCACGCATTGTCATGGCATGGTGCTTAATTAATTAAGCCCAAGGATAACTTTACCTTACCTTACCTCATACTTCTGATAAAGTTATTCGGTCTTAAAGAATGGAGGAAAATAGAAAAATACTTAACAATTAATATAATAGAGCAATTACTGTCTCACCATTTGTAACCATGCTCTTGAGATCAGTTCTCTGTTCATTTGCTACTTCATAGCAATGCCAGTATGTCATAGCACTGAACTCACTTCCTTGCAACTCTGCTGGACTGCTCTGCCTTGCACTTAACTGCAAACTGACTCAATGACTCCCTCATTAGCCAGCCAATCAGTTTCATGAACATACCAGATGGTAGGCCAGGCAGCATAACCCCACTGCACCCTACTTTAGCAACAGTATGAATGCAGTGGAAGATCTGTGAACTTCAAAGGGTTTTAAAATTTTCTTAAACTATATACAATACTAGTACCTGTGAATGAAGGCGTGTGCAAGTCTGTGTCAGCTCTCGGACAGTTTCAGCATCGGGCTGCTGCAAGCTGATACCAGCATCTGTACTAGAGGCACTGGTGCCTGGTTGAGGCTGCATTGGTTGTAAGCTAACAACCTGTGAAACACATTATCTCTTGTAATGCCTGTACACGTGCAAAATGTAGCGCATTTAAATACGGACATACAAACTGCAATACATACAAACCACTTACATTGCTTACACCTGTACAGTTACTATTACTGTCATTACTGATAGAATCACTAATGCACCATTGCTATTTCAATTCTCAGTCCATTTTGACATTTCAATTTTTGCTACCAGCTAACCTCTGTGGGGAGTTGTGTTTAGATAGATTATCTTTGTTACACACATTGGCACTTATAAAATCTTTAGTTCTAATTTTAAAATTTTAAAGGATTTTAAAATTAGAACTAAAGATTTTATAAGTGCCAACGTGTGTAACAAAAATAATCTATAAACCAGACAGATATCAACGAAGTAGATGTTGATAATAACAACGAAAGGAACAATGTGTTTTTAAATGTTAAATTTTAAACTAAGTGCAGCGTAACAGAAATGTGAGTGTATACACCTGATGATGGCCGTTTGAGGCCAAAACATGTAGTGCAAAGGAGAGCAAGATCAAGGACATATAATATATTGTTTGCACTTGGGACGGAGTTCATATCATTTATCGTATAGAGTGCAACAGGATGCTTAAATATAATATTGTATATAGTCTCAGACTTTTGTCTTTTCCATCAACCACCACTTTTAAGTGTTATTCCAAAATAATTTATTTGATCTACCACTTCAGTTTTTGATCATTCACAGTTCACCTCTCATCTTTTTTCAGTTTACCTCATTTCTTAAATACTAATATTTTAGTTTCATTTAGGTTACATTTCAAGTTCCATTCTCTACAGTACTTAGTAACTTGGTCTACTGCTTTCTGTAAACCATTAAATGTGAAGGAAGAGAAAGCTAAGTCATCTGCAAATAGCAATTCTGGAATCGCAGTCATTACAATTATTGGATCATGTCGGTTTTCTTTACTAATATAGTCTATAATATTATCTGTGAAAATGTTAAACAAATATGGCCTCAAACTAAGGGCCTTGTCTTCTCTTCTCTGTTCGATAAAATCTGTCATCTTGTTTTCTCCACTCCACGCAATACTCAATCCCGTCACACCATATTATCACTTGTGCCCTTTCTTCTCTATTTCATACAGCGACTCCGTGAATGACTCAAAAGTTTTTCCAAAATCTATAAAATGAACTGATCAGTTGGAAAATGGAACATGTCCAGTGATCGTAACATAGATATGTGCCCTTTTTCAACTACCAGTTAATCTGTGATGTAATCAGTGACCACAGATTTTCAGTGTGGGATAACTGTTAGCATTTGTTCCTGCACTTTGTCAGCCAGTAGAGGGTTCTCACCACACACTATTGACAGAGACACAAAAGGACCATGTTGCAGGGATAACATGAATCTGTACCTAGGGCTGAATGTATGAAGGAATTACAGCACAGCCATTAGGATATAAATTATATATGATTACACAATACTTACCTTATAAGGATATAAGGATCTTCTATACAGTAGGACAGCAGGGCTGATACACATTAATACAACAGGATATGTTCATTCTCACAGTAATCAAATATGTTAAATGGAAAGGAACATAACTACATAGCTCCACAGAACACATTCTGTACTCAGGAGGCAATAATCGTTCCTACAGCCCAGAAATTCACTAGCTTTATGGAATCAGGAGTATCACTGATGTGTTGAGAAGAACTCACCACTGGTCCCTATCTTGAGCTAGATGAATCCAGTCACAAATGAATATACAATATGTGGAAGAGAAATTACCATTAAACAATGAACCGGCATGAGAATGACCAATTACCTTCTTCCACAGGGCATTGATTGCTTGCATCTGCAACAGCTGAAGCTTCCGCTCACTCTCCAAAGCTGCTCGGGTAGCCTCCATGTCTGAGGACAACTTCCTGTAAAACATACAACTTAAAATGATCTAACTTGTGCTTCCTCTTCTGTCTATATTGCAACACACCTTCATTTTAGTTTAGATGACATCAAACTTATACACAACTCACTAAAATGAAAGTTAAAATGTTCTTAAAATGTCGTTAAAATATATTCTATGTCTGGCTACAAGTTTCGGCCTCATACAGCCATCTTCACGGAACACATTTTGATGGAACCTACTGCATTGTCCTCACTTATGTCAAAAGTACTTGTTGATGTACATCGTAAATATTCTCAATTTCGGTATTTTGGGAATGTCTATTCTTTTTCTATTTCAAAAGCACAACTTTAATTTTTTTTTTTCATTTGAGAGGTTGCATTTTCTACACTGGTCCATCATTTCAGGATCCTGTACTCTTGCTTCTAGACTTTAGAAAACTCACTGTATGTATTCCTGTGTGCGTGCTGCACGTATGTCATGATAGGCTTCCATGACTCTCCTGTTCAGGTTACGAGTATGATAACCACGCCACATACGCTGAATGCACACAGCTGCATTCTCTGCTGTAAGACACAGTAAAAAATATGAGTTATATTACGGCCATATGTTTAAACAAGCAGGAACACAAACAATAACAAACTTTAAACTTGATATACAGCTTTCCATGAGCTGAAATTTCCGTGTACCAACCAACACTTGTTCTTGGGCTGGGTCAATGGCTGGCATATAAGATCAGTATTTAAATGCTTTGGGTTTCATTCAGACTGCTGTCAATAAATGTCTTCATGAAGCACAGTCTCTGTGAAGCTAAGAGTCACTCAGCTACTCAAGAGATTACCTACGTTTTATGGAACCCAAAGGTTCATTGCTGTGTTCGCAGGAGCCTGTCCCTGGTACCTGTCATCAGCAAAATGAATCCAGTCCACACCTTCCCATCTTATTTCTTTAAGATCTACTTTAATATTATTCTATCTATGCCTCAGTCATCCAAGTGGTTTATTTCCCCTTGGGTCTTCTGGCAAAAATTGTATATTTATTTTTCATCTCTCCCATCTGTGGCACATTCTCTGTCCTTCTCAAGTGTATAAACTTTCAAAATGGGCACAATAACTGACAGAGGGGATGAAGAGCTTCATATGGGTCTTAAACAAAGGTAGTTGTCTAATATCCCTCACATATACTGTGTTCTACCACTGCCAGTCAGGCAAGGGAAGGTCATGTAAAAATATCTGCATTGAATTCAGATGGTCTTGAATACAAGACCACTAGCATCATAATTTTAATATATCAGATCACCTAGATGGAATTACATTGTCACTACAACTTAATATCACTGTTCTCAGAAACATACCAGAACTGTTGCTTCCAGCACTATTTGAGGTGGCTTCCTTCCTCTGCCAACGCTCTTGTGCTCGATGCCTGATGGTTTCAAGTTTGGAGGCAGACATTTCACTATCTTCATCCTCACTGCTATTGAGCTGTGCTACTTCTTGCTGGCCTGTTCTCTGAGGTGAGGTTCGTCTCCTTGTCAGCGATGCTGCACACTGTTTTGTCTGTCCCCCTCGTTGACGGGATAACAGTGGACTTGAATGAAGGCTCCGTGGCAACTTAGGAGACCCTCGTGAAACAGGTCGCCTATTCTGCGTATGGCTCAAAGTAGCTGACTTGGGACGCACACCACGACCAGTCATTCCAGTACTAACTGCCGGTCGATAATCAGGACTCATTAAGGACTCAGGTACAGGAACCATCTTTGTGGCTGTCTGAAGTGGGCAATTGATTCCTGATGCTTCATTTTCTTAAACAAAATAATTACTTACAATCAGATTAATTATTAAAGTACATAAAACAAACCGATGAATTAACCACACAATTAACTATGTAAGTCATCCAGGAAGTAAAGACCATTTTGTGATTTTAAAAAATGAATAAAATAAAAAAAAATGTTTTTAACATCATTGCTACAGACCTTAAACCATTTTCTACATAATCTCCATGAAGGTTCAGGCCCCTGTCATATCTTGTGGTAAGTTTCTGTATTTCTGAATCATTGAAATCTGCTGCCAGTCCACTGAATCAGTCTTTAACAGTCTTCTTCACTTCTTCAGTGGTACCCATGTGGGTGCTGTCCAAAAACTGCTTCAAGTGTGTAAACAAGTAAAAATTACTTGAAGCCAGGTCCAGACTTTATAGAGGATTGGAGAAAACGTTCTAGGCAAAGTCAGCAAGTAGCGGGTGCAGAATGACTCCTGTAGACAGCTGGCCTCGTTGGTAGTTTTGGATGGCACGTTGTAGCTTAAGTTGCACAATACTGTTAAGCATTTATGGGGTATGACCAACAATGAGAGAGTATGGATTGGATGTCCGGATTTACTGATCACTCCTTTACAATCACTCATAATCACAATCAATTACGACTCAAAATAAATGACTGCCTAGGACTCGCTCCATTCCGGTCTCCTCCTCTGACTTCTGATTTAGGACTGCCTTCATTCCAATCTGAACAGTCTCTTATACAGCATATAGGTATCCAAGGAAATGTTTGTTGATCACTTGTATCCAAGGAAATGTGTTCTGTAATGAGTTAGTTTCCAAGAATCAATCTCTATGGAAATTTGTTCATCAATTTGTTTCCAATGGGTATACATGTCATAATATGATGCAGCGCTGATGGTTTGGCCTTTGGGCATGATTTCCATCAGCAGGAAGACTTTCCAGTAAAAAAAAAAAAAAACTGCAGCTAGCACTTTCCACATTGACAACATTTGTTTCAATTTTATGGGTTTTGATGGTGAATGGTCCAAAAAATTATCACCCTCTTGGTGACAACACAAAAAAAACGTCAAGGTAGCAACCATAAGCTTCCTCTTGTGCTCTTCAGTGAGCATCCATGGCACCCATGTTGCACAAATTGTTTTGTGGTGGAAATGCTCTGTAAAAATTTCATGAATCAGCGAACAAGAAATCTGAGGAAATTTCTCATGAATTTCAACAAGAGTTTCAACAAGAGAGCCTGTTATCCTGATGTGCTCATCAACCCTATTTTTCAAGTCCTCAGTGATGAGGGACAGCTGACTGGATTGCTCCTCATCATGAACATTTGTCCTGTGCTCATTAAACATCTGATATTATTTTCTCACATTTGACTCATTCATTACACCTTCCTCATACAATGCAATAAGTTGATGGTAAATTTCAATTGCATGGAAATACTGTGCATTCAAAAACAAAATTACAGTTTGTACTTCACAATTTGTGGGATTCTCAATTTTCTTACTTCTTTTTAAACAATAAAAATAATCATAAAACGATAGAATAAGCTCATCATTTACCTGGCTTATTACTAAGATTACTTAACCTTGAAATAGTGCAATTTCTTAATTTGGAAGTGCTATGCACAAAAGTGTTTACCTTCTGGATGACCTTACATAAATTATAGTCTTCCTTGGACATCCAACAGTTTATTCTCTCCTAAACTCTGGGCCAGTGTAGTCCAGTTCACATCATCACTACCTGTTCCTCTAGGACCATTTTTAATCCCTGATGTACTGGTTCTTATATGTCCAATTCCTATCCCTGGCTTGAATTAAAACACAGTTTTTAAACTTCTGGGGTGTGGAAAACAAACTGAATTTACTATATTTTTAAGCTAGAACCACAGAATGAGAACTAGATTATTAAGAAAGAATCGACATGTCTGTGTGCGAAGTTCTAAAATCAGCAGACTTTATATGTGCAATTAGTGAATGCTCCTTTCAATTATTTCTATCCTTTCATACATCCTGTTACCGTTTCATTAAAATATAGGGAATTAATAGGCGAACATTTGGTGCAGCAAATAAAGACTGCACTATAGCACTCTGAACTTTATCCTTCTAATAAAAATAGTTCTTTTGCAATATGCTCATCTCTGACTATGGTCAATGCATGTCTTATATATGCAGCATATGGCTTCCTTCTAAGAATTAAGTAAATCAGGTATAACTGTGTACAGATTCTAACTTATTATCTAAAAAGGCAAGGTGGTCTAACCTGTATTAACTCATACATGTATTTATGTCTAAACATATGTTACATAAGGTAAAGGTAAAAAAATGTAAAGCTATCCCTGTAACATGCCATGAAGGCTGATAGGGGTGTGAGACATTGAGGCTCTCACATCATCTAGACATTTGGCCCATGGATGACAGTGAGGTGGTCAGTCCTACACACTGGCCGCCCTTTGTCCCCCAGGAAGATTCCTGGTACTCATTTGTGTTAGACGCTGAGTCAAACACAGGGCCATAGTGTGGTTGGAAGAATTAGGTAAATTGAAGAAATCCACTGACTTTATGGGAATCGAACCCGTGACCTTCCAACTTGGAGCACAGTGCCTCAACCAACTATGCTACCGCATGCCCCCTATATGTTACATAGGTATTCAANGGTGAGCGACCTTTCTGGATGATTTCACATGGAATGACCCTTATGTGTTTATTATGCTAATGTTGATGAATCGTGATGGCCAGAAAGATATTATTCAGATAAAACTCATAAGAATGCAAGAAACATCAAAGTATAGAGATGGTGACTGGCTAGGAAAAGAATGAAATGAGGTGAATAATTCCAGCAATGTATGTACAGGTTGGCATGTTTTCAATGTAGCAAAAGCTATTTGTATCTAAAAAGAGCTATTAATTTTTCAAATGTGTTAATGTGAAAATGTATTAATTGAACAGTTATAAAATAAGGAGATAATTTATATCTCTGAACAACATTCAAACTGCAGGTATATTAGATCAAAATCAGAAACACCTATTTCATTTCAAATAATGTGTCATGTCATATTACTCTATTAAATACACTTACCATATAGTACTACCTCTGCACAACAACCACCCTTTACTTCATACATACACATAAACATACATCCATACATAACATTCTGTACACCAAAAGTTACTTAAAAGATGGTGCTTGTTCCTTGTGTTATTCAGCTGAATTTGCTGGAAAATGGTCTTGGTCATTTACAATAAAGTTCATTAATAGAAACATGTATTCACATGAAAGAGGTGAGCTCTCTAATTTCTTAAACAGACCTCTACATGAATTTCTAGTTTCATACCTTTCACAACTCTTTAACGTTTTCTTTAGTAATGTAATGTGGCATATTTGCTCTATGCAGGAACTGTTGAGCCACAGAGGCCTAGGGGCATGCGCGCATGGGAGAGTTGTGGATTGTATTGGTGCGTTGCTAGGCAACAACTCAGTCGACGCTTGGATAGCACAACAGGAAGTGTGAGTGACATCACATATTCCCACTCACCCCCTCACTATGCAACGCTCAGTAAACACCCCTGCCCGCTAGGCTGTGACATCACGCAACAGTGTAATCTATGCTGCGACCGATGCTGGGCAATTAGTCGGTAAACACACCTAACAATATAGGCTGTTTTCTGTGTGGTCTGCAAGAGGCCTATGTAAGGGGGTTAAATGCACCAGGCAGTTCAGTTGAAATGTAACAGTCGCCAAAGACAGTTGAAGTCTTAAGTGACTATAGCAGAAGAATTAATCAGGACACTGAAATTGTGAATTGTGTAAGTGTGGATAAAAGTGTGCAATAAATTCGCTAGATCCAAGACCAGCATGAAGTTATTTGTTGCTACACAGCCAACACGTGACAATAAAGATACTTTTGCTGTATATGAATTACCCCACAAAATTATTCCATACTGCACTACAGAATGAAAATAGGCAAAATAAACTGCTTTGAGAGTGTCAGTGTTGCTGATATGTAACACATATCTATTACCTGTACTACAATCTTCAAGCACAAGCTGAGTAGACAAATTCTCTGACTGATCACAATTATTTGTATCCAGATTAACAGATGAGGATGTGTACAGTAGTGCTGGATCCAGGCTTCGTGTCATAAGAGGGGAAGAAGAAATATCATCACTTCCAACAACACTAATGGCCAAGTCATTTGATGTCACTGCATTACAGCTGTTAACCATTCTATCAGGAGACTGGATCCTGCAACGATCTGCTACAGGGAGCTTTGATTCCTTTGACATGTCTGAAAACAGAGAGAACCTACAAATAATCATGCCAGAAATTATCAATAAATTTTGTAAATTAATACAAAACTCATAACAGATTCCTTCTATGGTAAAAAATATACCAGTAATTAATGTCTTGCTGTAGGTTATTGTTCCCTCTGATAGTTCTATTATTTTCCTTCACTCAGATGGGAAGAGATCTATGGAGTGACAAAAATTATAGTTATGTTCGGATGCACAGAAAAGTTGGCACTGTATATCAGCGTTCTTTTTTTTGGAACTGGAATACCACACCATAACTATTTTTAAACAAAGAAATGCTGTAAACTGTAATATTTTAAGAAATTAGAATGAAAGAAAGAGATAATTTCATTTAAGTGTGGGCTCTAAATTTTATCTTCATTATAATCGTGTCACAAATTATAAATAACAATACTGACAGGCAATAATGATGTTTGCAATTACAGTTATAAATTTTATAAATTATTTGCTACACACTAATAAATAATTGCTAAGAAAAACAAAAGTTGCTGGTTCCTTATTGATTCGAAGTTTAGCTACTTAAAGGTTCTAGCACTCTGGATGTCCCAAAATGTTTAAGTGCTGGTTTAAACTTAGTAATAAGAATCGGCCAAACATCAACATATTATCGTACACATTTTCAAAAAAGCTTACAAAGAGGCAATGATAAAAGAGGGAGACAAAAAGGCAGGGAAAATAACATTAAGGATGTAGAATTCTACAGCTTCTAACATTTTACACTTTCTGTTTCATTTTAAAGTAAACTGTGATACACTATTTCATATTTCAAACCTATGTTTTCATTTCAGAAATGTCTAACAATTAAAGCTGAAGGAGAAAAACAAATATACACTTAATAAGTCTCAAAAATTCACACACACAAATTGTTGCGCCGTATGTCAAAATTACATATTGTGTGTGAACATGATATTTCCTAATTAAAATATATTAGCTGTAATTAAAATTAACTGACATTAATTAACATCTCGGTGTTTTCCTTGTGATCTTCGTCCATTCACTTAATATAATTTTGCTTGCATATCTCTCGTTCTGGATTCATTCGCACAGCATTCCATTTGCAGCATGGGTAATATGAATATTATTTGTGCAGTTCATGAGGATGATGTAGTGCTATTATCACTTTTGTTATGTATGCATCATTTACTGTAGTTTCTTCTACACTGACAGATTAGTTATGTTTTTAATTGGTCTTTGTATGTAGATAAAAAACTCCAGGATTTTAGTCTGCAAGCGAACTCTACTGACCGAGTGACTGCCGCCTGTTGCTGAAGTTTAGTGCCAACTTCTGTATGTAGATATTACTACATAATTATTATTATATAATTACATTACCTCTTCTCTACCTCCCACGTTATAATTTTCGGCCTTTATGTATGAACACAGCAGCAATCAGTTACAGTTTACCGAGTTGCATTTCATTACTTTACACAGATCCGTGTTCACACAACACTAAGTTCTTGTGGTACACAGATTCTTTTCAGACATGCTTATTTCCAATGGTTCAAACATGTTTTGCTACTATTACTGTTACCACAACCACTACTCTGCTATCACTGCTATCTTCTCTTTCCTTTTGATTTCCTTTCCTACCTTTAAGTTTCAATTCCCTTACAACTTCAAACAAAGGTTATACCTTACTATAGGATTCTGATGATGGTGTATAACACATAGAGATATTGGGTTTTTGGACTTTATCTATCATCCTGGTTTTAAGATAACTAAGAAAAACACGTTTCGGAAACTGGATCTGTTTCCATCCTCAGGTGAAGGAAAACACCTATTCTGTTGGGTCCTTTAGAAAGAGCTAGCCTCAGTCACTGGTCCAGTGATTGAGGCTAGCTCACCTGAGGACGGAAACAGATCCAGTTTCCGAAATGTCATGTTATTCTCAGTTATCTTAAAACCAGGACGATGGATAAAGTCAGAAAACCCAATATCTCTAAAGGTTATACCTTGCTAACATTATTCGCCAATTTTGATCCAACTTCAAATAAATATTTTTAAACATATTTTAACTCCATTACAGTTGTACAGTTTATAATTTTCTTACATGCTAAATCTTAAATTATACTCAACCATTTGCTACATACAAATTCTTCTCTCCACTTCCCCATTTCAGAATATCTAAGTGCTCTGTATATAGCACCCTCCTCCCCCCAAAACAGGGGACATCTTCCTTTGTCAGATCCTTGTTTCTAGCTATGGTGTTCCAATTATCTCATCTTCTGTAATTCCATCATACTTCACAGGATCATTCTGCAGTATGTATTAACAGACCTGACTAGCAACCGTTGAGTTGATAGCACCAGTTACTGTACTTACTGGACTGTCTAGGCACAGAACTCCTGTTGTTACTGACATGCCGTCTGGTAGCAGGAGAAGAAAGACTTCTGTTCAGAGTAGCTGCTCTCCCTCTAACAGCCCTGCCTGTAGGACACACACAACAGTTACATACCACACAGTCTAGCACGCACCACTACTATTTACTTTCTAGTTTAATCACATGGCTAGTAATTCAGATTATATAGTGTGAGATGATTGGATGACAGTGAATAATGAATTTGAAAGGACGTGGACCAATGTAAGGTAATATCCCAGTAGCTATGTGGAGGAACTGAGGAAAACAATGAAAAATCTCACCCAGGACAGTGTTCCAGCCAAGACTTGAACTGGGCACCTCCAGAATACAAGTCAGGAGCATCAGCTTTTGTTTGTTATATCATTATTGACTTGTGGTCAAGTTTCTTCCCTGTACAGGTAGATCCTTATAACAGTGGTGCTTCAATTAAGATTATATAATGTTATATTCATGTCAGTTGCTATATGTGGTGGAAATTGATATTTCTTATAATTTATATAACACTGTCATTTGCAGTGCATTTACTGCACAAATTATATTTATGATTCAAGTACTTAGAATATTTCTGCCTTGTACTTGGAATGCTACATGGACAAACCAGCAGGAGTAAGAGATTTTTCTCTTCTCTACAGTGTCAAAATAGATTTTGGGGGCCACCCAGCCTCCTACACAATGAGTCACAATGAGTACCTGGAGCTCTTTCTCTCAAAGGCAGCTAGAGCATGAAGCTGACAAATCACCTCTAAACAGTGCTGAGAAAAAGAGCATGTGGATTACTACATATATGTCAACTCTCCCATACATCTTCACTGCATGGTACTCTACCTTTACAAAGATAAACTGTCCTGAATGAGTCTTCTGTTGTTACCTCAATTCCTTCAGAGATGTGGTTTATTTGAGGCTATCAGTATCTTAAAGTATGCAGCAGCGAATGCTAGGAATGATAGGTGAACACTAAATAGAAAGAATATGGAAGGAAGTGGTCATGGCCTGAGATACTATGGGACTGGGGAAAACCATGAAATGCCTGTCATGCTAATTGGTGCTGTGGTTTGGATTCAAATCAGACACTCCCCAAATACAAGCCACTACCACCTGCGCAAACTTCCTCAGCCTTTCAGACGTGACAGCTGGAATTTAGCAACAGTGTGTTGTTGAAAGGGCCAAGCCCCATCTGATCAGATGCTTCATGGCTACTACACTCACCATCAGCTGTTAGCTGCTCCCTCAGTTGCTGTTGATGCTGCTGAGCTTTGCTGAGGATAAGTCTCAGTTTCCGGTCATCTTCTGACTCCAGGCTGTCTCCGGAAAGTGGACAAACTGAGGCCAGATACTGAGTAAGTGCCTGATGTTCACCAACTTGAAACTGACGACCTCTTCCCTGGGAATACAGCCACTCTGCCTTCAAGCTGGTATCATAACAGGAGATCAATTAAAACTAAAATATATAACTTCCTGAACCTGTATTATGTAAATATGTCAAAATGCCAAGTGAGACATGAAGCCCCAAATTTAAATATGAAAGATCTGACAGTCAGGCTATTCTTTGCAAGTTACTTCCACTTGATAGATACAACACTGTTCCTTTCAGGCCTTTGTACAATTCCATATATATTCATGTTTCCCCCACTTGTCTGAACATCCTGCATTTTCCCTGCTGCTACACATAATGAATGGGTCTGTAAGGCAGTGAGGGAAGCATATATTAACAGCTCAGTCTTCTTGTGTTTTTGTGTGAACAGATGAAGGCTGTGAACTGTGTAACTGTGTGTGTACGCATTTGCTTTCAAGTGACAACTGAAAGTTTGTTAGAAACTCTACATTGGTGTCATGAATTTAAAAAAGTTGAAGGCATGTTAATAAAATACATAATGTATCATTATGCCTAGGATGGAAGTGTAATGGTATAAATGGAGGTCTATATACAAGTACCAGTAATTCAAAGGGGGCATTTACAGCAGCAGAAAACAGTACCAATTTAGTGGTAGAACTACAAAGATACATGAAGACAAAGTAATGAAAAAGTGGAAAACTGAATTTAAAAAAATATTTTGCAAGTGTCACATCTCTTTCACTATGACTGTCAAAGAACCTAGAAAAAAGATGTTAGGAATGAAAATGAGTCAGCCTAGTGACAGAAACTGTGCATTCTACATATGTACACATTCTTGCCGGAGCACCTATCATCACCAATTCATATGTATGCATCAGCACAAGGGCAGAAAAAGAAACTGATGAGCCCTGAGGTGTCCCAAGCACTTAGTGAGCATACAGTTGCTAAAAACAGAGTACTAAATTACATAAAAGTGAACTCTTAAAATATGAATGTTTAAATAAGAACATATAATTTCCTTTCTTTCCATAAATATACTGATGGGTGCAACAGATTTTATTCACTTCAAGCCCCACCTGTTCTCATGTTCATGGGCTGTCTACATGTATACATAAATTTATTACAAACATATTAAAAATATATTAATTTGAACAACTGACCATTTATATCATTTTTACAACTTTCTACATAAGTCTTTAAATTTAAGTTAATATAAAACTTACAAATATATTGGGCAATACCAACAACATATACTTAACAAAAGTTCAATTAAAACACATATGTTGTTGCTTGATGATGGCCTTTATGGTGAAAAGTGTAGCTAAATGTATTCAGACAGAGGTCCTCAGACTCTGTGATATCACAACTTCCCAAATTAATACACAAATTTACCCAACTCCCCACGATTAAAGCTACTGATGTGACTGAATGGGCTACTTACTAATCATATGGTAACAGATTTGATCAAAGCATTGCCAGGCAACAGCTCTGCAAACACAGTACAACATGCAACAATAGATGAGGCTGTTTTTTCTATGTCACCTGCACCGAGCAGTGGTGGAATAACGGGGTTATGCCATCTGTTTCTAACCAACGGCTCAGTATACACATTTCCATGTACCAGACCATGCTATGAAAACGGTGATGTCATCAACTACAGAGATGGTGTTTTCCATGGTGTTTGTGCAGTGTTTATAAGAGAAGGGAATGACAGAATTTTTTCAGGGGCAGTTACGAATCAGTCATAAGCTGGAGGAGAGAGTGCAGAAGAATTTTGAATTCCAAGGTTCCAGAGTGATTGAAGACTAAATAACAAGACAACTTCAAGTGAGTTGAAGTTCTAGTTTCTGTGTTGAGATCCATTGCCAGGAGATGACTAGTAAAGCTGGACAATCCTAATGTGTGTGCAATGGTGAACTGGAAAGTGTGTAAATCAGCAACAGTGCTGTATTTAAATGTAATTAAGAGAACTTGTAACCAAAGTGCTAATAAATCCAATCATCCAAACTAAAACTCGTTATTTTCATCATGCATACCACACTACACATGAAAATATTTTAAATAAATCTTCAGAACTTTGTATGCCCTCCCCCTCCCCTAAAAGCAGGTCATGCCCCATGTGGGGTTGCAACCCACAGTTTGATACACCATAGAAAAAGATATTTTATGTAATTTATAATAATAATAATAATAATAATAATAATAATAATAAATACAGAAAGTTGTGTGTAACAGTACACATGTGAACGCACAGACACACACACACATACACAATGACGAACACAACAGTCAGCTCAAATGTACAAGTATAACCTTTTTTTTAAACTTGAAATCTCAATCGTGAAGCATTAGACAACTATGAAATAATAAAATGCTTTTTGATTAATTTTTATCCTACCTAATATCATTTCTCTGTCCACATACGAATACTTACACGTATACTTACTACAAACAAGAACACAAAACCTTCCACAAAACCATCACCCCTTAACCCTTCCAACTTGAAGCACATAAAAATGTTCCCACGTAAAATGTTGTCTTTGTGCACAGCACCTCCATTGAGTCCTGTATTCTTACTACCTTTTAATGACATCTCTTGGAAAATTCTTAACTTCTTGAAGCTTCAACAGGTCATACAGTCACCCCCATTAACTGTTCTGTGAAATGTTGTCAATTAGCAGTTCTTTGGCTACTGAACCCAATTTTAATATCTACTTTGCACCATGGGGCCCACAATTTCACTAATTTTATTCAAGAAGTTCCAAATGTGATGAGAACAATAAGCACTGGTAAGACTGCATTACCAAGCTACCAGAGTGGCTGGCCAACATGATTGAGCTTGTAAACATTGCCAACACGTGCGCAAATTGGCAATTATTGATTTGCCAGAGAATTATGATTATTTTGGTATATGGACATATTGTGGGAGGTTCAATGGAATAAATCATCAATTAATGGAACACTGAGTAGTGGGGGATGACTACTCATATATCAATTCCAGCTCAAATTACTTACCTTAATGTGAAACAATATAAAAGAGATAGCTTGTGAAGTAATAGGGTGATGTTTTGTTGTTGGAGTCTAACTAGGGCTAGGAGAGAGTTAATTTCAACACACAAGACCAATACCTTCTTGACACCCTACAACACATAATACTCACCTTTCAATAGCATCCACCACAAAGCCATCTATCACCTTGAGGCCCATGCACCAGTTAATGACAAATGGACGATAGTCAAAGCCACTATAATCTAGTTAAGGAATATATGGCAGCACACAAGGGAATTATATCGCATACCATGAAGCAGACATTAACACTGCCAATGAGAAAGCTTAAGGGATTAACTAGAGCAGTGAAAAAATTAGGAACACTTCCCCAGGGACAGTATGTACTCAAGTATGGGCTAAAATGCTTGACCCTGTCAACATAGATAGATTTTATGGTATAACCCACTCCAAAACCAGTCCATCTATCTAACTGGATATTATAGACATCTACCGTTCATACATTTTGTCTAAAAATCTCTGAGGGTATGTCATACCTTGAGCATGCAGCCATATGAAAGAAATGTTCTGTGTGTGTTCAACAAGATCTCTGGTATTGTAACTCTGGTTCACCATCCTATGCTGAAATTATAATCAAGCAAGCAACATTCTAATAACAACAGAATGAACTATATCACTGACAAAGACAAAACCAGAGATGTTTTAGATACACAACAGAACATTTTAGCTGTACTGATATCCTGGGTTAAATACAGTTTTCAGTCATGACTATAGATGAGTTAGTTAACTGTCCTATGGGTCTTACCTAAAAGCATTATGTAAAGAACAAATTTATTCATTACAAAAGCAATGACAGTTAAGACATGTATTCCACTTAGAATATACTAGGTTTTCAATTTGTGTTCTTTGCAATTTTCTTACTGTATATTATTCAGAGTTGTAGTAGAATGTTGCTTTTTGTTATAGGTGCAAATATGCCTGATACATTTAATTTCAATTTCTGTCAGCCTTTCATACTTATGTAAACATGTAGTTCTAACTCTGCCAATTATAACTTAGGATGTTATAATAGTTAGAAGGGATTTATTACAATTTAATTTTCAAATTAATTTCTATGTATTATTTTTTTCCACAAAGTTCACAAACTGCTCAATGAATCATTCCAAATGGTTCTGACAACATCATATTACACAGAGAATTATTGGGTTTCTGGGCCTTACCCACTGCCCAGTATTCTGAACAGAATACAATTTAACAGGATCTGTTTCCATCTGCAGGTGAATAGGTGGGAATGCACCTATTCATCTGGATCTATTAGAAAGTGATAATCTCAATCACTTGATCTGCTACAAACAGCTAATCTCAGACACCTTTCCATCCTAACTTCAATGGCAATGGTAATGACAATGCCAATGCTTCTACCAGAAATTCTTTGTATGACAACAAAAGCTTATACAGGGTATCAGTGGTTTTAAACTGTGAAATGCACTACAGAAGGTTTTGTTGTTTATTTAGTACCTCCAGGTATGGTTTGTGTTGAGCCTTCTGACTTCTGCCTACTTACGCAAAGGTTAAAAATTCATCTCTACAGTGTGTATACATACAGGGCAGATCTAATACCAACAGTGACAGGGCAATTATAAAAATGATGGTAAGCAAATGGGATCTGTAGATTTACCATGGGCTCAAGCCCATGCTAGGGCATCATGTATTATTCATATTCCCACAATTTTATCACTGGTAGGGGTGATATTTCCATCTGTGAGCAGAAATATCCACACACAAGTGTGACTGGGGATCAGACAGAACCTCTGAATAAGGGCCGAACAGGTGTCCACTACAGATAATTTAATTTATAAATTTCAAACATTTCTCCATTCCTTTATTGTGTATTATCTGTAGAAGTTCTGTCCTAACAGCATCCACATTCTTGAAATTCTGTCCTTATTTAGAAGTCATCACTGCCAGTGGTTATGGATATGACCACCAGGTACCAGTGAGAAGTAACTATGCTTCAGTTAATGTTGCAGTCTTGACCTTTACTGAAAACAAATTTCCACTGCGGACACAGTGCATATTCAGTGAAATCAAGGCTTATTGTTTATGAGTTGATAAATGAAGGGGTTATCTGTATAAACTGTAGCTACAGATGGGAATTATTTTAAAGGTTCTGCCCAACTGTTGCATTTGAGACCATTCAGAATAATGTGCAATTATGTATTAATACAAGGAAAAATTACAAAATGTACATGCAAAAAAGTGAGTGTATGGTGACATCAGAATAGCTACTGGTAACATTTATAGTGTCTGTTAACGTTTATTTTGTGTCTGAGCGCAAAATAAGCCAGTCATCAACTGTTACAGTTGGTCACATTGTGATTGAAAGAAATGTATCCCTGATGTTTGGTGGTGAACTACACAATAACCACTATGATACTTTCTTGCCAACTGAATGTAAGGAAAGGTTAGATATTTCTGAAGAAATAATAATTTAATCTTTTCTTAGCTCTTGCAGATGGTTTGGGCTGTGCTTGGCTTGTATACCCCACCTTGGTGCTGGTACAGGTGTCCAGAGATAGTGACTAGCTCTATCGATTAGTCCCATCTGAGTAGGTTTTACGTGAAGATGGAGATAGAATCCAGTATCCAAAACGTTGTCATTTGAAAAATAAACAGGGCAGTGTTTTTAGATAAAAACAAAAATGTCCAGAAACATAATATGAGTATTTGTACTAATGTACCATCGTCACAAACATTTAGATCTTATTTCTGAAGAAGTCTGTTTCAATATACAACCTTTGCCAAAAAAATTTCACACAGACAGCAGCACCAACTGGTGCATATCCTTATTCTAACAAATTTACTGCCTTAATATGATTGTGTCAGTCTCCCCAGAACTTTTAAAGTAACTGAGGTTAAGTAGTTTTGATTAAGTCTATTTCAAGTTTCCTGTTGAAATTTTGACAGATTTCTTGCTAGTTTTGTATTGATCTCTAGCTTCAAACTACCATAAAATCTACAAAATTGTGATGAACTCAGTGTGGTTATCTGTACTTTATTTGATTGAGGGAACAAACATCATGGTAACATGTTTGTTATATGTTCCATTGACATAATTCCTGTAGAGATTGAATAAATTTATACTGTTTTCAATTCATGACATGTTATGGCCATTCAGGCCATCATCAGGTAAGTCATTTTACATTAACACTCTACTTTTTCTGCTAATATGTGTTAATGTAAAATTACTTATGTGATGATTGCCTGAATAACCAAAACACGTTGTAAAGTGAAAACAGTACAAAAATATATTCAATGTATGTAGAAATTGTGTCCACAGAACACATAATAAATAGTTCACACACAATGTGACACTAAAATACAATATTACTATTGGTAATATATTGACTGGTCAGGGCTATGCCGCAACTCAAGAGGNGGGGGGGGCGTTCAAGATACTCGAAGAAAAAATTGCCTCAGTGTCATTTTGTCCATCAGAACTTCCACATACTGCACTGAGATTGAACCCAGGTAACCAGTCACAGGCTTGTGACTAACTGCCTGAATTATGGCATACACTAATAAACAATACAAAGAACAATTACAAGAAATAGCATAATTATAAGAAATAATGTATGAACCAAATATGTGGAAAAATGGAAGGCATATTTCCAAAAGTCAATGTTTATGTTCTTAAACACACACTGGGGTCAGCAGCATGATAAATTCCTATTTTATACATGCAGAAAGTAACTCTTCAGGCATTTCCAATATTATTACTAGCAGAAAAACCCACTAAAAGTCAGTGAAAATCACTCATTTTGTATCTTCATCCTCCACCCCATTTTTTCCTTTTTTAGTCCTGTCATACCTTAATGTCATTATCTCACTAAGCTACACCTTTAAGCCCCAGATAGCATAGCTTTGAATATCATGCAGCCACCTGTGTGAATATGTGAACACTATTATGTGGTGAGGATGATTACACACACAATCGGATAACTTATGTAAGTAATCACAAATTACGTCTCTGCTAGACATAGATGATATAATACTGTTAGTTTTCAGCTTATATAAAAGATAGTTGTGTTCTATTTCTAGCAGGCACTCAGAGTCTATGTTAGCCCATAAGAAGACATATAAGCAACGCTGTGTCATAGTTCATGTTTCTCTCTACAAGCACCTGATAAGGATACATACAATTGCCGGTCATATTAATGCAGGGATTATTTATAATGCTGAATTCTCGGAGGTTGGTTAGGTGTACTAGATGAGACATTTCATTAAGATCAGTGATGTTGTTGCTAGCGAGTGTGAGCATGACAATACTTGGTGGCAGGTGTCGCTCACATTGACGCAGCTGTGAGATGCGATTACCATGCAATAACAAATGCTGAAATATACAAACAAATTCAGCAACTGCAAATAGGAAAAGATTACAATGGTACTCCATAAAGTCTAAGTATCATATACATCCATTGTTACTTTCCATATCTGTGCACATATGAATCCCTTCATGCAGCTCCTACTCTCTTTATATAAAAAAAAATGCCGGTAAATGTTTGTCTGTCTAATCTGCATCTATTAAACCATTAAGGCCTACCTATGGCCTGTGACCAAGTAGTTTGTCTTCATTGTCTGCGACACAAATGTCACTTTTCTCATGTTTCTGGCTCTCATATAAGATGTCACTAATAACTCTATTGCTGTATACTTTAAAATTTCCAGTATGAGTACGCCCATTCCCCAACTAACATGACTTCTAACACAAATTCAGTTTAACATGGTTTTTAAAATATGATGGATATTCAACTAATATGACTGCCTTTTTTTGTTTAACACAATTTCTCCACAACTTCTCCATTACATTATTTCACATGGATAAATTGTGCCCAATTAATATGTCACTTCAAACAAATTTTTCAAGATGCATCTATCATGTTAAACAAGGGACTGGATACACATAGCAATCCTGATTTATAATTACTTTTCATCTGTTTCTTATTCTTCCTTTTGAAAGTTAAAGAAATTGTTTTGGCAGTTTCATATGAAAACACAATACATGTGACTGAAGGGCAGAAAACATTTAAGTTTCCATGCACTGTGTGAATTGGCCAGTTTTGTATGACAGAATTAATTTTAGTTGAATACACAGAAAGGAGTAATTTACTGAGTGATAAAATTAGATGTGGAATAATCATGTCATAGTAATTTTATGCCACCAAGGTTCTACTCAAATCTACACCACATGCTGTTTCCAAAACCAGAAGTGATGAATGTAACAGTGTCTACAACACACTTTAAGACACTGATAACTCTGACACTGCTAATGAGCAGGAAGATATTGTGAAACATAATAATCTGCCTGGCCTTCCATTTCAATTCAAAGAACTAAAGGGACCTAAGCATGTGCTATAATAAAAGGGGGCATCAGTGGGATCTTTCTCTCGTTCTTCACATATTAGTCTACTGCTAATAACTGTCTGAGAATAACAAGCATGTGCACCTCATATTTTCAAGAGCTGGGATAATGCAGTCGGTATAGCAACTGGCTATGGGCTGGATGACGGAGAGGTTGGAGTTTGAGTTCTGGTAGGGTCAAGGATTTTCTCTTCTCCACATTGTTCAGACAGGCTCTGGGGCCCACCCAGCCTCCTACCTAATGGGTACTGGCGGTAAAGCTGCCACTCACCACCAACTAGTGCCAAGATCAAGAAAATGTGGATCTCTACATCAACTCCTCCATACATCTTCATGATATAGTGCTTAATTAGTTAAGCACAGGGACAACTTTACCTTTTTTACCCAGTAGTTTCTTCAGTAAAATGTAAACCTTTCACTAGTTCTATGGAAACAGAATGAGGAATGTGTAACCAGTATAAGTCAAGGATTTGTAGCTGTTTCATGAATATGGAGATTATGAGGTAACCCACTGCTAAATTATACTTATTTACAGGTCCATCTCAAAATCTTCCCTTGCTACAAGAAGTGTTTACCAGAACTAATTTGAAATTTTACTGACCTAATAAACAGCTGAAATCTTCCTGGCCTGTTGATTCTACCCAAGATTCATGTAGCAAAATACACTACATAGTATTTAACTGATCATGCCAACAGTTTGATAAGGTATCACTGCACACCACACCAAGAACTACTATGGATGGGGGCATTTATGGACAAGAAATCGCAACTCATGCATTAACTGTCTAATAAATACCACAATTATTGCATAACCAAACTATGCAAGCTTTGTTAGTCAGTTCAATTTTATTGACTTGTGTCCTTTATACAATGAGTGGCTTCAAGCCATAAAGCTAAAATCATCATCCTTTCCAGTATCTCACATAGTGAGATTGATTATGAATATTACAAAACTGAATCCTTCCACAATCTGGCATGTCTTGCCAAACTTCTTTTTTCTTTTAGTTGATTTCCTTTTTCATATGCCAACATGTTCTTCCCAATTTCCTTTCTACTATTATACAATTCTGTTTAGCATGTCAATGTGGACATATCCCATGACCATTCTTTATCAGTGACACTTGTTTGGCCATTTTTAAACATGCTAATCCATTCATACATGCCCTGCTGTGTCAAAATGCTGTCATCATATTGTTGTGAAAGTCTTGGAAGAATTTCCACGCCACTTACATCTCCAGCCCCACAAAAACCGAATCACTGCATGTTGCTCTTCTTTGATGCGTGTGGTAAGCACAGCACCCACACTGATATCACTAGTTGTGAAAGACAATTCGGTAGTAAAGGTCATATAAGTAACTACAACAGTATGGAGGTTCTATGCTTACAGTGGCATGTGTATTCAACAGTAAGGGCAACAGTAAAGGGGGTAGATATGAACATTTTGCAAATAAATTAGACTTACCCTAATAATGGCAATGCTATTTATTGTTGCAGTTTTTAACATCTTATAAAAAAATCATACATTATATGATAAACCTTACCTTTAGAGATTTCAAATGTGAGACATCAGATACATGGACAATGCTATTATCAGAGAGATCTAGGTGCTCCAAATTAATGTTCGTATTAAGATGTTCAATCGTCTAAAAATAAAGTACAAATCACAGTGAAAATCTGAAATAAATTTCAGATTATTACATGTTAAATCTTAATAAACCATTCACAGAGTGAAAAAAATATTTATATTATATCTGTATGCATATGCATGTGGAAAAGATATAGGTGCTTACCACAATCTTAAATGAAAGATTCTTACGATTACTGACACTCAGAAAAACAACCAACACTCATCAGAACTTCAGCCATCCTCCCTCCCAACCTTTATATCCACTCACCACTCACACAACCCTACACATACAATTGAGACTCCGTCTCTCTTGCCTCTTCACAGTCATACAATTCTTAATGCAAATGTTTTAATTTGAATTCTATAAATTCTTGTCCACTCAGGTCATGAACAAACAGAAGTAAAATTCAGATGCAACTGATAACTTAAATAACTATTCATATTTCATGGGAATTCACTGGATGCATTATAATAAAAATGCAAATGTTACATGGTCATCACTATTCCTGTGAAAAATAATGGAATGGGTAGATGAAAATGTGGAAGGTGAGCAGCGGCTGTGGCTATCCTGCCACCGCAGTATTTTGTCTGCTTGCATATAATCCAGTGTTAACAAACATCCTTCACAGTTTGCAAATATACCGATGTCTGTCTCCTTGAAGAAATTAATTAATATAAACAATACCAATGGCCATTGCATAGATGCTTACTTCAAGGTCATCACCTAGCAATGAGTGCACATGCTACAGAATCAAGAATCAGTGCATGGGGCCCCTCTACCAGAAACCATTGATGAACTGTGATTAAGGATTGTTACAACTGTTGCTATAGTTAACACTGACAAGCTCCTTCACTTGTGGGAGGTACTGTTGTACGTATGGGTCATGGCCCACATTACACGAGGAAATTATACAGGGCAGTGCAAGTGGGAAATGTATTGGAAAATATATGTTCCTTACTAATACAACTCTGTTTCAAATTTACAGCCATATTCATTTAAGATATAGTTAAACAGTTTGACCTAACAGAGAATACCCCCACATGTTGTTAAACATCATAAAGATATACACATATTCCCGCCTGAGGTGTCTCCACCTTGTCGTGGTGGTGGGGCTTGCTTGACTCTGTGACCTGAAGAGCTATGCCAGTGGTAGTTTAACTACCAGTAGGGTCACCCATGCCGAAAAGGTCATAGGGAAGAGTTCAGACTAAGAGAGATACCCTGGTCCTCCGGGTTGGGAGTTGGGCATGAGGCTAACAACCTCATTCTGTAGAAAGAATTTTGTTCAGAAACCTAACAACCAGCCTCGGGTCATCATGCGTGGGTCCAATCCTATAGCAGCACACACTGGTTGTGGAGACTGGCTGTAGAGGCCAAGGCTCACCTAGGGCTCTAGCGCCGAGTGGTGGTTGGGTGTATGGGTAGGGAGGTGGGTAGGTAGGTAGGTATACAAATATTGAAAAGTAATGGAATCAAACAGGTCTGAGTCTAATCATCATCTGCAAGGGTAGAGCTTGTTAGCCCATTCTATCCCCAATTATCAGTCTGGCAATTTGATTTCTGAGGTTCAAGAGTAACTTTCCTTAATTGAGCAGGTTACCAGTCTGTAGCAAAACCCCCATTTTATTGTGGGTTTCCTTCAGACATGTTGTCTACTGGAGCTAACGAGTCTTATCTACCACCTACATAATCCTGGTTAGGGGCCCTTACCAGGTGCTACCCACCGGGCCAGTGGGACCTGCAACTTGCATTTGGCATTTGCCACTCCCTGCAGTTGGACGGTCTCCTATGACAGGTCCAACTTAGTGCCTCCGTTTCAATATAATACAGACAAAAATTAAAATCTGGGAAAATATACATTCGGTATTACACAGAAACTTCATTGGGACACTTGAAAAGTTGCATTAATATAATTATTGCGTTTTTGGACATTATCCAGTGTCCCATTTTTTATTTAGTAGGTTGTCTTTTTTAATAAGAATTTAGTAGTATTTGGAAATTCAGAAAACTATACTCTGTCCAGTGTAGATTATGTGGGAAAGTTGTTTTTTTATGTTGGTACTATACAGATAATTTGTCTCTTTAGTGATGACTTATATTCTGAAAGTACACTGATTTCATAGACAGTGGTCATTAAACAACGCATGGGCACAGGTCCTAGGCCTTGTGTGTGAAGTTTTGTAATGTTTTTCATGTCTGTTTTAACTCTTGCTGATGGTTCATGTTGTGGTTGGTGCTGTTGTCTGAAGATAGGCTCTAGCTCTGTTGAATGGGCCCAAATGAGTAGGTTTCACTTGAAGGACGGAAAAAGAGTCCAGTCTCTGAAAAGTTGCTTTAAATAAATAAAAAAAACAGGACAATGGATAATGTCTAAAAACATACCATCGGCACAAAATTTTAGGTCCTATTTATCTGCATTAATCCTTACAGTGCTACAAAGTTTTGGGTCATGTGGTTGCATTACGTTGAAACAGAGCTCAAAGGCCAAAATAAGCCTTATATTTCTGTAGAGCTCAAACTGATTTTCTAGAAATTATTAAATAGTTAGCTACAGACATCAGATACCTTAATACTGTTAGCTGCAAGGCATAGCCATTTCAGATGCACAAGGTCCTTCAGTCCTTCAATAGTCAAAATGTTGTTATTTGCCAAGTTCAATGTTATGAGACCATGGAGTCTAGCAACGCCGTACATCCGTAGCAACTGATTGTTAGTTACTGATAGCTGTTAAACGAGATTATTATATTATAGATGAAAAATAACTACAATTGCACAAAAATGACATACTGCATGCACACAAATACAACATACATTATACAGTTCACTATGCCAAGTGCAAAATATATATACAGTATGGCAACAGATCAACTGTAATAATAATATTAATAATAATAGAGAAAACTCAGCGATTTTAATCCGCAAGTGAACTATACCGACCAAGCGACCATCACTTGTCAGCGAAGTTAGTGCCAACTTTAGTGAATAGAGGGCGTCGCGTTGTCAGCTCAACAAATTCCCACAGCCATTAATTTCGGTTTTCTAGACCGGGACCGCTAATTCCTTGAAATAGCTCTTCAATTATCCTCACGGGGCTGAGTGAACCCCTCTCCAGACCCACCACTTCTAAGAAAAAATCCAGTAGCGCCAGGAATCGAACCTGGACCTCTGGATATGTAGCCAAGAACACTGATCACTAGACCACAGAGGAAATTTAATAGTACCTGGAAAGTAATATCAGCATAGTTACATGGCAAATTCATTTATAGGAACACAAAATATGCCGAAGTATACTACCTTTTGGGATATAAAGCTGTGTAGTCCATTGAAAATAAACTGATATTTTGGTGGAACATATTGTCTCCTTTTTTATAGTCAAAGAATAAACCAAGCAAGATACTAGCGTGAAAGCAGGTGGCAAGCAGAGTCAGCTCTGCTTTCATGCTGATATCTTGCTCAGCTTATTCCCTGACCCTGAAGATGGAGACAATGTTCCTCTGAAACATCGGTTGACTTTCAATGGAATATACGGTGTTATATACTAAAAGACAGTACTTTTCATAACTAACACTGTAAAAACCTCAAATCCTACAAACTATGTTGATTTCTGATCTGAATGTGTACCTCTTCATCTATAAAAGTAAAATATGATTAAGTGTTTCAGATACAACCTGTAAAATACATTCATGCAACTACTACACTCAGAAAACATTTTTAGAGGACATACACATATTTCTAAGTTTATTTTAAAGATACATCTTCATGGTATGATATTTACTTAAGTAAGCACAGGGATAAATTTACCTTTCACCTTTACAACTTCACATAAATTAAACTTGTCATCACTGGATGTTGCAATACAAATGTAAAATTGTTTTATAGTTTCAGAGTTTGTTTCATTGTATAACCAACTGGTATTTGATATTAACACTCCAACAATGCATAACTAACTATAGCAGCTACTACAGATGGCCCACAGAGATGGCTATGCAACTACAAATTTTGAGAAGTGGAAAGTTAGCAATAACAAGCTATAAGATAGTCTTTTAATTTACTTAAAATAACATCATAAGAAATATATCAGAATTGAACATTCTGGAGAAAACTATAAAATATAACGTTGATTCCTCATTTATACAATGTTTGCAATGCTGTGCCCATAAATATTTCTAGATGACTGCAGGGAAGACTTACATGAACCAAATAACTCTATATCCTGAAGATGGAGGAAGCAGGTTCTGTCAAAACATTGGGAAAGCTCTATCACGCCAAAGCTGACAGTCATTTTCAAGGTAAACTAACATAATATTACAAGCAATATCACGGAAAGGAAGCCTTATTCCACGTTAATTTTTCATCTAAGTGTTCAAAGGGATTCAGCAGAGGCTTACTGAATGTAAACTAGATATATCACTTCCCTGTTACTAAGCCTGATGCCACATTAAATGAATAATTTTTCTTATATTATTTTTAATTTAATATACAGTATCAGAAATAGTTATCACCCTTATCTCTGTAGCCAGATGACTCTTCTACTACATTGTTTTCTGACAATTGTAATTGTTGTTTAACTCTACTGACACAAGCAAAACCTGGAACAGCAGTTATCCGTTCATATTTCTTTGTGAAATTTCTATTATGGGCCGAAGGCTTTTCAAAAGATATGTAATAATTATCCTACCTTTTTCAGAACAGTATAGGAATCAATATTATCCCATCTTTGAAGTTCGTTGTTGTCTACAATCAAAGTTGTTACTACTTGTGCATCATGAGGTTGTGCTTTAGAGAGTTTCTTAAGTCCTTGTCTAGAAAGATCTAATGTGTCATGAAGCTCTGTAACTTAAGAAAAGATTCACTTAAGTCTTTTTCCACATGTGACATGGAAAAATTTGTAAATAGTGATATTATAGCAACAAAATCACAGCTTTCTGCTCTTTGACATTTGAGAAATGAGTATTTAATATCAAGGGGTTGTTTACTGTTGTATTCTGAATTTTCAAATTAAAAATTTATTAGTTTCTAACAACTATATATTACAAAATTAATTTAAAAATGCTGACGATAAGCGTTACTTTCCATAGTATCTAATAATTACATATAATTCTACATACCTTCTGCTGCCATGATTTACATTAGTAGTTGCGAGCGGTTTCTAAATTGACCTCAATTTCCCTACTTTGGTAAAAATTCTCTTCAGTCAATCAACGTAAGTAGGTTGCAAGCAAGGAACCCGTATACATATTAAGAATTTAATATTACTAGCTAAAAACATAATTAATAAAGTTTTTTCTGCACTGCAAATAACGAATAAAGTTATTCGTAGGTTAAGTACGACGTCAGTCATTCATATTTTCAGCGCAGTTGTTATAGTTCGTGCAAACTGCTATGTGTGATATAAATTATTGAACTTGCCACACGCTTATCCCGTACGATGGACTTATTTCCGAGAAACTACGCAGGTGAAATTCAATGTGAATAGGGAAATTCTGTTTCGACACGGCAAAGCACGGTCTTGTATTCAAGTCAGCATCCATTTTATTACCAATGGAATCTATTCCAAGCAAATGCTTTCGATTGGGCGACATCGCTAGCGGGAAATTCAAATTGCAACACAGCAGGTGTAGCACCTTTGGAGGTGTTAAAATGAGTAATGACCAATTTAACATTTTGCCTCCGCAGAAGGCACACGCACGCACACCATGCAGAAAAGCGTCTTCAGTAACTGCAGTTTTGAATAAGGCCTGTATATATATTACTCAGTGCAGCATTCTGGGCAAAAGAAAAAGAAAACACATTTGAGTTGGGCTTCATGTAAGCTTAAAGCTATATAGGACAGATAGGGGCAAAATTAATTTACTCGACATATTTTAGTATAGCCCAATCGGTATATTTAAGACTGGATGNGGGGGGGGGAAGGGGAGGGACAGGGCTAGAATTTTTCTCTCCTCCACAGCCTCCAGACATGGTCTGTGGCCCACCCAGCCTTTTCTCTAACGTGTATGGGAGGGTTTTCCCTGGGGTTACAGCGGCTGGAGGGTGAAGCTGACCACTCATTTCCGTCTAGTGCCCAAGTCAATAATTGTGGAACTATCCCTTCACTCACCCATACATCTTTATGGCACAGTACTTAATTAAGCACAGGGGCAACTTTCTCTTTCATTCTTCACTGCAGAATCCCTTTCCGGAATACCAGGTTTCATCAGAATCTTTTTAGAAGTTTTAGAGATGAAACATTCAGAAGCACTAAACCTCCATATTATGAGTCTATTTATCCAATTTGTGCAAATAATACATAAATACCATTTTATCCAAATATGCTGTTAGGAATTCATGGAAATACATAGATTTGGATTCACTTTCCGTATTAGGGAGAAGAGAGGGTTGAATAAGAGTATCATGAGGGTTCCGGGGAATATTAATTCTGAAAATGACAAGTTTTCACATGACAAATAAGATACAAACTAGATGCCCACATTGTATCATTGACAAATTATTCATTCTTAATTGCTCATCTTGCGACGAGCTGATCGCCTGTCTAAGGAGTCCAAACTACTGTCTAAGATCTAAACTTAAGTGAAACAGAAAGTTTCATGGTGGTAGGCTAAGGCCATAATTGGGGGTGTACATCTAAGGAAAAATACTGATCATCTAATTATATGTAATGACATAAGTAAAGTTGCCTCCTGTGTTTAATTCAGCATAACGTCATGATGAACTTAGATAATTGAAGGTATACCCCTAAGCCGTCTTAACATCAGCACAAATGAGGGCAAATAATTAGTTTTGCGTCACATCCACTTTGTACCGAGGGAAAAAGCTTCAATTCAACTTTGGATGAGCGGCTAGACAGACAGAGAATTGGTGAAGATTCCTGCTCCTAACTGGTCATTCAAGCCCATAATTAACCAATCTTACTTTGTGCCTGAGATGCAGTGTTTTGTGTATGGTAGTTATTGAAATTTTAAAAGTATTTAGATGAACTTCATGCTTGAAAGAATTAAAAGCAATTCCATCAATATTCTGCCTCTTTCAAGTCTTGAGTTTCAGATCATTTGCTAGGCCTTTAGGCCCATGTTGGTACGAGGAAAACCACACAGAACAGAGCAAATTCACCTCCGCTCAGAGCGTATATTGGTTATGACATCTTTCCGTGAGGAAATGCAGCCATATTTTAGATACATGAATATCTAGGGAATATAAATTCTTCGATAGCTTCTGTGTAGCTGTGACGTGAAGGCTTACGATAGGCACTGCAATAGTGTGATGTGTTTTATATCATATGTATGGTTTGGTGTACTGAGATCTACTGCTAATGGATCTTGGATATATCTATATATAGACAAGGGTAATGGATCTCCGTATTATTACTAGGGTGGAAATGACTTCCCAGAACTATGTAGAAACTCTAGTTCACAAGGAGAAAAATGTTGCAGACCAGTAGAAATTAGGGTGAATGACTGACATATATTACAATTAACTAAACTCAAGTAGAATAAATTTTTTTGAGGAGCTAATAGTCGCTTAGTTGGTCAAGAAACTAGTCAAATTCTATGGAACACGAAGCCTCATTACCGTGTTCACAAGAGTCCACCATTGGTGTCCATTTTCACTTAGATGAATCCACTCCATACTATTCCATATCATCCATACTTTTTGAAATCCATTTTAATATTATACTTTCATATATGGGGGCATGTGGTAGTGTAGTTGGTTGAGGTACTATGCGACAAGCCGGAAGGTCGCAGGATCGAGTCACGATGAGGTGGATTTTTTCAATTCACCTAATCCTTCCAGCTGCACTACAGCCCTGGGGTCGACTCAGCCTCTAACAGAAATGAGTACTAGAATCTTCCTGGGGGGTAAAGGGTGGCCGGCATTTAAGACTGACTAATTTCTGCCATCTCTCAACTGATCGTCTAGACAAAATGTGGGAGCCTCAACGTCTCACAAACTTACGGGCCTTCATGGCCTGTTACAGGGATAGCTTCAAATTTTTTACCTTTTTACCTTTCACTTCTGTCTCCCCAGTGGCCTTTCTCCTACCTACCTTTGAATGTATTTCTTTCATTTTCAATTCGTGCTACATGTCTCACCCATCTCCCTCTCCTGCATTTGTTACTTTTAACAGTATGTGGTGATTAAAAATTATTAAGCTTCTCTATATGGAATTCCTCCAACCTTCTGTTACTTCCTACCCCAAATATTTCCTTCAGAAACCTTTTCTCAGGTACCCTTATTGTAATGTTCTTAAGTGGGAAATAGATTTCATACCTGTACACAACAAGAAAAATCGTAGTTTTATAAGACATTATAATTTTTGCCCCGTTAGATAGCAGACAAGAAGATGAAGGATTCTGAACAGAATCATAGCAGGGAGTTCTGAAAATATTTCTTCAAGAATGCCTTTTTTGACCTTCTGGTAAGTGTTATAAAAGCCAATTATTAGACTGAAAATTCGAAAATTGATTCTTATATATATCGTTATTGGGAACGATATGTACATTGTCTCGAGGTATTGGGAATAGTTTCGTTAAAAAGCGCTTTAACACTAAGTACATGTGAATGGTGCATGCCTGAATGTACATACATTCCAAGCTCTGCTAATTTTAGGCAGTTTTAACATAATTTGAGGATGGAACTTCATTCAATTCAAGTTGCTTTCTGCACTAGAAATGTTAAATAGCTTCAAAATAGATTAGATGATTATCATTATTTACTAAGCAAGTAAAGATAATGTTGTCATGTGGGGGAGTGGAGGTATAGCTCTGTCAGTTATTGACCTCTGTGCTAGATGTGGGTGGTGGTCACCTTCAAGCTTTATTCCCTGCAGGAAATCGCCCCCCCCCCAGTGACCAGTGTGTAGGAGGCTGGGTTGGCCCAAGGGCCCATACTTGGTCAGTCACTCTACCTTGAATCTGGCCCTGCTTGATAGGCAAATACATAGATGAAGCACACAAGACCAATATTCTGGTATACTGATCGCCGGTAGCTGACACTGCTTTGGCTACACTAGTTTCATCAGGAATATCTTATTGCGACTACTGATTCTTCCAGTCCTTCATGATTTATATTGGCAGGCAAGAACAGAGATTCGATCCAACTACATGTATCTATACTATGGCCTCTGGTCCCAATGCTGCCTTCAGGCACCCCAAATTTGACATTAATCACTGATAATTTTGTCAACATATCCTAATGTAAATAAGATCTAAAATGAAAATAAATAAGTTTTACATTAATGGAAAAGGAGGAATTTATTGTAAGGAGATAAACTGAACACATCAGAACAGCACTGTACATATTCTGAGCCCTAACAGTAAATATTGTTTTAATCCACCTGGATAAAGCTACAGTTCACACTGTTTTGTTGAAGATTATAAAAATAAACAGGTTATAGCAAGTGTCACGTATCTTTGAACAAGGCCAAGAGTAACCTTGAATGCTCAGAAGAAAAATTTCACACAAGGGGGTGGGTTCGAGGGTGTGAGAAGTGACAGGCGGCCAGTTCTTTGTGAGGCAACCTCGAAGCAGGTTCTATCATCTGTTTAAAAACATCAGTTTCCTTGTGCACTAAATTGTACATAATGAGTAAAAAAATTAGGTCAGGGTATAGGTCTACACTCACAGATGAAGCAAGTAATACACAACACAGCAAGCCATGAACAAACACGGATAATACTAAGAATCTCCTTTCTCAAGATAGACAGGTGGCACAAGATCATCCACCTCCAAGAAAGACAACAGGAGAATTGACACGAACCTGCATGGTTTATAAATTTTAATCCTAAACAACAAAGTTTTTAAAAATTTTAAAACATTTTAATACCAGGAAAAGTTGAACATTGTGTACATTGTGTATTTCAGACATTATATGTGTATGTATATAATTTAACACCTATTGTAATAGTAGTTTCCAGAAAAAGTATTGATGCCCTCTGAGGATGATCCGTAGGGATCGAAACATGTAAGGGTGATGAGTTTTCAAGTGATAAAACTTAAATAGTCACACTGGATTGTGTTGTTTTTGTCTTTGCAAGTAATACATATTAAATGTATTTTTCTTTGTATGACGAGTGGCAATATATTTGTATTATTGTAATATGTTCTTCAAATAGAGAATAGGGTAGTTTCAATGAAACACCAGGGGTTGGTGAAAGTGGAAGAATGAATGTTAAAAAACTCCTCCCACCACAATCCATGCATGGGATTTGACTAGGAATGCGTGGCCTTGTTCAAAGTTACGTGGCACTGTCTATAAGATTTGAGGTTTTCAGAAAACTAAGACTGTGATCTCCTGGCGTATGACATTTTGTAGGAAGATGGTTAACAGCTCCAAGGCAGAAAACTAAGACAGCAGGTTCCTCCAAAACAGTAACCATCTAAAAAAGACACCATATCATAACCCAGGAGACTGGAATATGCAAATGAACAGGATTTCTTGTCCTGAAAAAGTGTAAAGACTAGCATCCTAATCAGCTGTCCCATACTACAGAATGCAAAGGGATATTACACGGGAGAGAAGCATGCCCTGATACTTGAAAATGAAATCAAATTCCTCACTTCTGAAAACAGGCAAACACCATTTTCTTACTGGTTCCATATAAACATTCATCCAAGCTGCATCATTTCAAAGGAGGATCTTCAATTCATCTTTGGGGGAGGTGGAGGGACAGGAAGATTCCCTAGTTTGGGTGGAGGTGGTGGTACTGGGTTAAACAGGGGAGGTGGGGGAGGCATACCAGGTGGCATTAGTGGTCTTGGGGGAGGTGGAGGATGTCCCAGAGGAGGAGGAGGCATGGGTGGTGGTGGTAGGTTAGGAGGTGGTCCAGGGGGTCCTATAGGTGGTGTGGGGGGAGGTGGAGGTCTAGCTTGGGGCTGCTGCTTCGGATCATTCTTGAAAGCAAACTGAAGAAAAAACTGCTTTGTATCTTTGTTCCAGTGGGTCCAAAATTTGCCTTCTGTTTTCTCCACCTCGCGACTTGGGACCTATACAACAAATACATATGGCTATAAAATGTGAATACCACAAAGACCAATAATGCAAACCAATTACATAGAATCACCTTGTACATCTCATCTGCATTCTTGCACTTTCGGCAATGATGCAAATTTATTTTATGTAATTAACATGGGAATAAAAATATATAACAACTTACCCTCCAAACTATAAAGAACAGAAAATTTTAAGGTTTTGAAAAACAAATTAAAAAGTTATTCTTTAAAAATTGCTTTTATTCTCTACAAGACTTTTTAGTAACAAGGAATGATGGTAGTTTGGTAACTCGAGTTAGTCTTTGATGTGACACAGAAGTGTATAGATGGTCTTTGGTCTGTTACCTTCACCACATGTGTGATGCTTTGTTTTACATGGCTGACTTCTGTTTTTGGTTGTTTAAGTATATTTATTGCTGGGAGTTGTCATCCATGGTTGGTAAGCTACAGCAAAGGGTTGTATTTTTTATTGTTTTGTGTATTGTTTTGTATAATTTTAAGAGTTGTTGACATGTGTTTTGCTGGTTCTTTTTTCCAATTTACTTGTCCAATTGTGCCTGTATAACAGTTATGGGTGTTAAATTATCATTATCATCATTATTAATGACAACCAAATACCCAAGGGCCAACTGGGCTGTATGACCCTTACTCAAAATTTCCCTGACATCAGACATTCTGACCTGAAAATTTCAAGAAATATACAGGGCTGAGGAAGAACCCACCATCAATGAGGCAATTCACGCATTTTGGGGGCACACACCATTCTGTGTGTGCGTGTAGGGAAGGCCATGCAAGTACAAAATCAAGATTTTTCAGCTGTGTGCAGCAAAAAGTGACTATGTACATATCACACTCCATTGCATGTAGTGCTGTTAATAAGCTGTATTGACACATGAAGAATAATGGGCATACCGTATATTTTGATCAATGTCCATTTAGCCCAAAACTTTTCAGACATCTGTGGGCATGTAAGAATGGCTGAAGGCACAATACTGCCCAACAGAAAACAGTTACCTAAACAAAATAAGTTCACTGTGATGAAATTATTTTTAGAATTATAATCAGATTATAGTTCAGGCCATGAGGCACCACCTTCTCATGCAGAGGCTTGGGTTCAGTCCTCAGTGACTTCATATGAGATTCATGGTGGACAAAGTGGCACTGGTGCAGATTTCTCTGAGTTTCATCAGTGGTCCCCTGCTAATCATCACTCCACCACTGCTCCATATTTATCTATCACCAACATCTGATGTGTGACACAGCCTTGACCAGGTAGCACAACCTTTGTCTTTCAGCTATCAAGGTTCTTCTCTGACCAGGCACTTAGCTGGCTATGGAGTGAGGATGTTACATTTTTTTAGTGGAAGATAAACATATTGTTTAAGAAGGGATCAAGAAAATTACATAACAAGCTTAATAATTTTTGGTCTTCATCAAATATTATTAAGATATCAAATCTAGGAAGATGAAATGGGATACATATGTAGCTAAGATGGGGCACATAAGAAATGCATACATCATTTTAGGTGGAAAATCTGAAGAGGATAGACTAAATGTGACACATGCTTAAACAAGAGGATAATATTGAACTAAATCTTTAAAAAAAAAAAACAGGGTGTGAATTAGATTAAAAGGCTCAAGAGAGGCTTCAGTGGCAGACTCTTGTGAAAATAGGAGTGAATACATGAGATGCATAAAAGGCAAGAAATTTCTTAACCAGTAACCAACTATCAGATTCTCAGAGAGGACTTTGTTCCGTAGAGTCAGTTGATTTTAGAAATATTTTTAATGTTTTGTACGTGGTAACCTCTATTCTGACAATCAGTTCTAGACACATGATATAATTAGAATTACAGTCCAGGAGATAAAAGCATACAAGATACAAAATTCTTACCTTGAAAGCAATGGTTTCATAGGGTTCTGCAGCAAACAGCAAGTACTGCCATTTCCTGTCAGGAGGTTCAACTTTCTGTTCGTATGCAGACATGAAACGATGTCGAGGGGCTATTCCCTCTGCTATTTCTGTAGACAAAAAAAAAAAGAAAATTAAAGTGGAAGAATTTTGTCACGAGGTTCAACTTTCTGTTCATACACAGACATGAAACGATGTTGAGGGGCTACTCCTTCTGCTATTTCTGTAGGCAAAAGAAAAAACATTAACGTGTAAGAAACCTTATAATGGAAGGAACCTACGTCTCATGTGGGTATCGTAGTTATATTTTAACATGTTTAACATGCAATTTCTGCAGTTATGTAGTGCTGGCTGATATCTGGAACAGTGGTTATGAATGAAAAATCTGAAGGGATGTGAAAGAAGTGATCATCACCCACTATTACTCTGTCCCTCACCTGGTAAGGCCAAAAATATGACAAAGAGATCTCAGACAACCCCTGGCCTTGATTTTAGCCACATACATACACATGTTAACTTCATACCAACTTACTCAGTATTAATCAAGAGTTTGCAATAAAATGCTAATAAGAAATCTATAAATTGGACCTCAGAATGTCTTTATTATAATATTTTTATCATGTCAAAAATACAATATTCATCTAAATGGAAGACAGGACTATTTCCCTACCTTCAGATTTAAAAAAAGAGTCACCTTGAAATTCAGTGTAAAATATACACTGTGACATGATGCCTAAAAGCCAGATTAATGGAGATAGAGAACCGAGGCGGAGGTGTCCAATGCTATGCAATGGGCTGTTAAAACATTTTTCTGCAGCAACAAATGGGTACACAACAATCAGTCTGTGTCAAAGTTAAATACAGAGGACCAGCAAGGCCTGAGTAGCTCCATGACTCCCAGAGCTGTGACATAGAACAAGATGATCGTAAGTCCTGTGGGACTTGGAACCAGGAATGACTGTGCTGACAAGCGCCAGCAGAAATTTACCTGAACTGAGCCTGGAACAGGGGAGTCAACAAGAGTAAAGACATTGAGACCAGAAGCATAAGGGTCAGTCTTGGTCGTTAGAATCCAATGACAGAAACAAGTGCATGAAGTTACAGCAGACTGGAGAGACTTGGAAACTGCTGTAGTTTCTTGTCCTTGCCTTGTCCCTGACGAAAGTGTCCCTTATACCATGCAGGAATGGCACGGTGGATCATCTTTCTGTAGGTTGTGGCCAACTTCTGGCCAACTTCTTCCAGGACACCACCGCCCTGGATCCATTTCTTTGGTTTCTGGCAGTGACCTACAGCTAGATGCAAGTCCTCATGCTCCTTCTTCAGTGCTCCAAAATATTCCACTGCGGCCTCTTCCTCAGGGACTTCCTCATGCACCACTATGGAATCTATGTCCAATGAGGTTGGCTCCTTACTCTACAGACAAGCCTCTGCTGCTTCTCGGCAGGCCTTATTCCCTTCCGGCCAGGCATTCGTATTGGCTTCCACCTTGGCTGTTATCTGTTCTATCATGGTTATCAGACATTCCATCATCTGTTCCATTTTGTTTTCATTTTTGTAGTATGGCCATACAATGAACCACTGCAGTTTCCAATCCACACTTCTCACATCAGATGTCATGTGTAGAAGTGACTCTTGATGGGGTGTTGGATTGGATTTTGGATTTACTGACCACTTATACACATGATACCTAAGTACAAGTAATTACAGCGCCACCGCTAATCTCCACATTTCACAAATCACCACAGCACCCATTTCACTAGACATTTCCTGATAATGCATTTTAACGGTGGAGATTCTTCAGCTTCACATGCTCAAGGCTTCTCTTCACAGGACTGACTTGGTTGCCCCAGTAGTTTTCCTTATAATTCCTCAGAATGGAATGTGCAGACAACACCGTTCATTCTCGTATGCTGACCGTTTCTGTGGGAATGTGTTCATGTGACCCCGGTTATTAAGAGTCTGCTGCTCCAGCAATGAGCGCTGTTTTGCGACCATTACCCAGCAACAAGTCTACACGCTACAATATTATTCTACAATAAGAAATCTTAACCATCTTATATCTTCTGGGATTTGGTGCCATTTAATCTGTAACATTTATGGACATTTTGGGGGACTGTACTGCTCTTTTAATGATGCTTTCAAAAGTTCAGATTACATAGTGTCAAATGACAGGATTAGTGAATAATGAACACTGGAAAGTGCATGGTTGTGAACTAATTTGAAGTTCTAACCCAGAATTTGTCTCCAAGGGACCATGCCCCCAAACTTAAGTCATGACAGCTGGTCCCCAGGCCAAGATCTGAACCCTGGACCTCTAGAATATAAAGCAGGAGTGACACATACACACCAGCATTTGACAGAATTGGTTCTCACAGTGGTGACAATGAAGGGTTCTACATTTTGGGATACAATGCTGTAATCCAGATAGCCAACTGATATTTCGGAGGAGCATATTGAATACATGTTTAGGGTTGAAGAGTAAAGCAAGCAAGATGCCAATATGAAGCAGGCAGTAATAAGTTGGATGACTTACTCAGGACTACAGTGGATGGAACACTTCAGCGGTGTTTGGTTTGTATATGTGAAAGATGACATTAACTAATTTTTTCACAGAAATCTGAAAATCACAGAAGCAGGTAAAAAACCCGAGCAAGCATAAGTAAACTGGAAACATACAGGGATGGACCATGAAGACAGAGATTCAAGGACTTCCCTGTGGACTTCATGACTGGAGTTTAAGTTGCTGAAATCTTAATATCTGTACAGTATTTACTGAGAAGGTGCTACACAATATAAGAAAAAAAAAAAAGGTGAAGAATGAATACATGAACGATTTAAGCATAAGATATAAGCTGTATTTTATTATAAATAAATTCTGCATAGACTCTACAAAATTTAATGGAGAAGATATTTTAAGAAAGCAGTCTTCTGGGCTTTGGCGCCGTTACCGTGTCTCACGGTGTTGTCGCTTGCAGATTTACCTATACTTTTTCTTCAACCCTGAAGATGGGGGCGATACGTTCCTCCGAAACGTCGGTTAACACCACATATACACGGCGCCAAAGCCCAGAAGACTGCTTTCTTCATAGTCACCGCCGTGAAAGCCTCAAATCTTACAAGATATTTTAACTTTTATGGGCAGGGCAAGCATACAATGATGAATCACACAGGATCATTCTCATAAATTCTCACACACATGACTAAGTTTTTGTCATGAAACTAGTGAACAATGTGCATGAATTATATGATGCATATGGTGTATACCAACCTGGATAATCAATCTGAAAAAGCAAACTCTGCTGACTGCTTTCAGGCTCACGCTGCTTAGTGACTCTGTATCCAGGGCGACCAATCTTAACAAATTTCTTAGGCTCAACTCTTGGTTTTTCTGGGGCAGGCTGTAAAGAAATATTCAATTCATGACATACAGAATGATACTGTCTTCATAATTGGTTCTGAATGACTATTATTAATGTACTGAGATTTCTTCCAAATGGCACACATGGAAGAAAAGAGTGGGAAGGTCAACTACAATTTGGAGTGCACTTATTTTCCAAATGCTATTCTTTGCAACTTTGCACATTAATTTTATACAGACAAAAATCTAGTGATGCTATGCTTATCAACTGACACAGACCTATTTTCTTGAAGTGTGTTAAGTATCACCAGTGAACAAACGTTTCAAATAAAAGTTGTAGACCTTGATGAGTTCTGCATTTACTCTATGTACCACTATAAGGGTTGTTCAAATTAAATCCATCTGTGGGGTTTCAAGCAAATAAGGCCAGCTCCAGGTGATCAGTCAATTGTGAATTGCGCGTGGCAGAACAAATGAGAATGGTGGGACACTGCTCCAGTGATCGAGGTTAGCTCTTTCTAAGGGACCCAACTGCGTACGTGTCTTGCCCCCTCACCTGAGGATGGAAACAGATCCAGTTTCCAAACCGCCATGTTTTCTAGTCTCTAGAATATCGGACAATGGAAAAAGTCCAAAAACCCAGTAATTCTAAGTGTTATACACCACTGTCAGAACCCTTTAGTATCTACTTCATTTATAATATATTAAAATTTGCTTCACCTGTTGAGGTGATTCCTTCGCTTCCTTGGCTGCTCTACGTGCAAGATTGGCTTGATGTTTCTTGCCTTGTGTATGGGCCAAATAACTTCCCTCATTGTTATGAAGTGTAAGACAAAGTTTACATTCATAAGAACCTGAAAGAGACAAAACCATATCCTTCACAAAGTATACAATCACAGGACAAAAGTAGTGTTAAAAAACATTGCATGATTACTAGGATTAAGTTTTTCCAACACTAAAATTAACCAGTTAAGCGTATATATTCCATATTCTTATCTCTCCCAGAGTGGGACGTTAAAATCCTCCAGACATTTAAATCTGTTACTGTGGTGTTTAATTTTTTTTTAAGTGTTGGTACTTTTTAAAATTCAATATCTCACACACATGTCATTATAAAACTGAAAAACCAATTATCAGAGTTAATGTAGCTACATTTTCATATATATAGCCATTACATTAAGGTTTATATATATATTTTTAGTAAAATTCCATACTTCTGTCTCTATTCTAAAAAAGTACACCATTGGCATGCATTTCAGCTGGAAATACATGATCAGGCCACGCCACAGCTCAAGCGGTTAGTCACTGGCTTCCCACCGGGGCGGCCCGGGTTCAATCCGGGGTCTGGTCAAGTGGGATTTGTGGTGGACAAAGTGGCGCTGGGGCAGGTTTTCTCTGAGTACTTCGGTTTCCCCTGCCAATCTCCATTCCACCAAATTTTCCATCATCATAATCACCCAGGGAAGGTACAATAGATCAATCAGTGGCTGCCGTGCTGAGTGGACCCAGCTGGACTCCACCCCCCCCCTTACTTACTTACTCATGGAGCTGAGCCCTTGTCGAGGAGCCACTAATTCTGCAGCTACTCAAGAATTTCCCAGCATTTTATGGAATCCGAAGGTTCGTTACCGTGTTTACAAGAACCCTCCACTGGTCCCTATCCTGAGCCAGATCAATCCAATCCATCCCATCCCATCCTGTCTTTCTAGTCACATTGGACGGACTAGTCTTTTATAATTGTTTTTGTATGCCATTTGAAACAAACAAGAAAGGATGAAAGATGTACATTTATCTGTGTATGTGCATTATGAAACTAAGTCAGCTTTCAGAATTGTCACTTTCCTGGAAAGTATGCTGTATTCTTAGACAACTAGCCTTTGAACAGTTATGAACAGTTTTTGTTGACATACTGCCAGCAATTCATCACTAGCGACAATTATCAAATTTTACACAAAAAACAGAAAGATGAAATTCTATCATGGTTTGTTTCAGCCCCCCTAAAGTGTTGGCCTAAAGTACATAAAATCATCACTTACCTAAATGGTTTTTCATAAAATATGGATCCTTGTTTAAATCAATAGTTTCAAGTGCTAGCTGACGGAGACGTTCCCGACGATCTCTGTTGGTTTCCGACCATGATGCCTGTCCACCTCCTCCAGTTTTACCACCAGGGCGGTTTTGAAAATCCATATTGTGTCAGCACTGCTACAAAAAATCTTATACATCATACAGTGTCTGTGATTTGAAGTGTTTACTACAGTACTTATTTCTGCTCCTTACTTTAGTTCTTTCAAATTCTATCACATCATGTCATCTGCTAAAAACAATACAGCCAGTAATCCTAAGCAAGCTATAACTTATTAACTTACAAGAATAATTTTGCACATATAATAAGTGCCCATTCCTGGCAAGTTAAAAAGTCATTTCCTTGGTAAATTTTATTACAGTGATGTTGCTTTCATTTTGCTGTTTGTATTGATTACAATTTTTTTATTGTTAGTGGGGTGGCACTAAGTCCCTTGTACTGCGGCCATTTCTGGCCTATTGTACCTGCCCCAGATGATAGGTGAGGGTGATTGTGGAGCAATTGGTGGAATGAAGATTGGCAGGGGAATTGATTACAGTTACTTACATGCAAAATCTTTGCACGTTGATATACTAATATTGCCTATACTAAACATATCTGAGAGTTAAAAATTTTATCACTTACCCACATTTAAATGAATAAATTTCAGAATTTACCATTAATTTATTATAAATAGATTAAGAGCGACACAGCAGCAGACAAGCATGGCACACTCATCATGGAAACATTTTAATATTTGGAGTAATGATTCATGGTGACTATTTATATAACTACAAAGTTGAGCAGAATGCACAAACATGAATCAAGCTTTACGATTTTGTGTGTGGTACAAGATATGTTGGTTCTATAAAACGTTGGGCAGTTTATACCACAGTCATTATTGTTTCACGAACTTTCAGCCATGAAATGTGCTTTGTTACAAGACTTGTGCTTCTTCCTACCATTAATCAATCTCAGCTTAGTAGGAAACGGATTATGTTGTTTTGGGTTATGTTTTTTTCCCCCCCTTGGCACTACAGCCCCAGTGGGCCTAGGCCTACCTCCATGAACTCCGTTCACTTCGGTTTTTCTAGATCTTAGACATTCGGTAGGACTCCTAGGGCAGGTGATCAGTTCGTCGCAAGGCCTCTACCTGTACACAAACACAGAAAACCCCCCACAAACATCCATGGCCTGGGTGGGTTTCGAACCCACGATCCCGGCTTCCAAGTAAGCGAAGACGGTGCACGCCTTCGACCGCTCGGCTACCGTGACCGGCTTTGGGTTACGTTTAGCAACATAAAAAAAATTCTGCGGGTTTCAATTTAGAAGTAATAAAATACCATTATTATGCCTCATGTAAGTGCAGCAAGTCGAATGCACTGCCGATATGGCTGTTCTAAATTACACTGAATTATGTTCCAAAACAAGAAACTTCTTAAGTTTAAGGTCTTTCATTCTGGTCCGTCACACTAACCAATTAACAATCAAGTTCCTTCCGTCAAATGTGACACTTTTTTAAGTTTATTTACAGACAACACACGTCAACAACATCCCGAAAAAGATTGGGCCAAGCGGGAAAGAATTCTAGGGATTTTAAGAATTCTTACTTCAAATAACGAAACATAATTTTACAGAATTAACGACGAATCAAATAAGGAAGCTACTGTGGTGTGTGAAAAACTTTTAGTGAACCGACATTCTGGGTAATTTTAACTATTTGTAATTATTTTAATTAACTGGAACGTGGCTATCTTGGACAAAGTGAAGTTTTGTGTGTTGGTGATTTCTTTTTCTACTATAAATGCCTCTGATGATGGCTCCGTGGTGAGCCGAAACATGTAAGGCAGGTGCTGACGAGGTGGAAAACTTAAAAAAGTGTCACATTTGACGGAAGGAACTTGATTGTTAATTAAGAAACTTCTGTTTAGAAATGCAGGTTAAATATCTCTTGCCTGCAGCTTTTCAACACATACTAAACACAACAGAATTGACCAGAATATTTTCCAAAAATTTGCGATATCGCTTATTTACACCCTTCTGTTTTGTAAATACTCATTCCACACACCTATTCGTATTCTTCACTTTCTCAGGTACATTAATATTCAATTGTAGAATCCCTGAACTAGAAGAGATCACTAATTATACACCAGCACCAAACAATTGACAGCACAATCCCTTCCGGTACCTCCAGTTCAGCCCCGTGAAACTCTCATGTTATTGGTGGGCAACATGGTGCAATGCTGCTGCCATCTCTACGCATCCTACATTAACTAAATTTAAAATGGCCGAGAGCACAATCGGTAAGAAGTTATGCTAACATAGCAACTACTTTGAACGTCCCCCCCCCCCAAGCTTTGTTCGCTGGAAGAGCAATAAATACTTTTACAACCAGATCTCTTGTACTGCAGAGGTTTCCGCACCCAAACCTATTTATATTTTTGAATTGCGTTCAATATCACTAGTCAAGGAAGATGAGGTTGACAAGGCATGTAGCATGAATGGGGGAGGCGAGGAATGCATATAGGATATCGTGGGAAAGCCAGAAGGAAAGAGACTACTGGGAAGACCAAGGTGTAGGTGGGTGGACGATATTAAAATGTATCCTAGAGATAGGATGGTATGGATTGGATTGATCTGGCTCAGGATGAGGATCAGTGGAGGGCTCTTGTGAACACAGTACTAAACCTTCGGGTTCCATAAAAGGCTGGAAAATTCTTAAGTGGCTGCACAATTGGCGGGTTCTCAAGAAGGGCTCAGCTCCACAAGTTCAATATCACTTCACCCATATCCTTTGGGTTGGATTTATGTGCTATTAGACTTGGTCCCCCACCCTTTCCCACAAAAAAAAAAACGGAATAAAAGCCTCTGCAGCTCTGGAATACAAGAGATTAGGTTGCAAATTATTTATCTGGAGAAAGTTTCTCACCAGTGCCTCGAAAGTCATAACCTTTCTTTCACACGAGTACACCTGTACTCATAGTGGAGTTATAACCTCATAGGTGGGTATTGTTGTTTCAGAGGGATGTATACCACCATCCTGAAGTAAGAAGTCATTTCTACTCTGCATATGGCTGCAATATATTCCTCCAAACTGAACACTCTGGAATGATTTAGATGTAAAGGTTTAAACAATGGCCAGGATGCAAATTTGAGACAAAGGTTTCCAAAATAAAATCAATAGCTTATTTGACTTATTTATTATCACTATACAAAACAGCAACATCACATGTTAAGCCTGTAAGACACAGCAACCTCCAACCTTCTTGATCTTGTTCTCAGCTCGCTTGGAGAAGAACTTGGCTTTCACGATGACAGGCTGTTTTGGTAGGCTACCCTTTCCCAAGACTTTGTAATAACCCTGCAGATGAAATTAAGGAAATAACTTACAATAATGTAAGAGAGAAAACATGGCTGCTCAATGAAGCTACAGGATGGTGTAGCCAGTTAGTGAACTGTAAGGCTTATGTTTTTCCATCATTGGTACATTAATGACCACTTGTGCGAAATGGCATTGAAAACATGGAAAAAACAACTTGCGGTGGCAACTCCCAGACTAAGAAACTGAAGTGCTACTATTTCACCTCCCTGCCTTAACTTGTTCACACATAAAAGGTTTCGATTAGAAACCTGCTTATTCTGAACTCAGCCACATACTGAGTCAAAGATTAACTTCCAAACCTAGAGATGGTATGCCTACTAATCATGGAAACGACCATTGTACATAAAAAAGAAATTACGGGAAGAACATATGATGGCTATTTTCCTTTCATACTGAGACATATGGCTAAGCATAAAATTAATCAACAAAAATCTTCCTTTTAATTTCAGTCCTTTAAAAAAGAGTATGGTTTTCTTCAGAGACAGCTGACACTTTCGTCTTAAATACTGCCTCCATCATCATGATCAAGGAGTAACCAAAGCAAGAAACCAGCAGAAGAAGGTAGCAAGCAGAGCTGATTTTAGCTTTCCACCTGCTTCTGTTGCTTCCTTGCCTGGCTTACTCTTCAACCATGTAGAGATGATGTACTTTTCTGAAAACAGTGGGCTCTCTCAAAGCTTCAGCGTTCGGGCCAAAAAGGCCACACCCTTCACTGTCACTGATGTGAGAATGCCAATCCCAACATAGTTCAGTATCATCCCTAATAATTTTCAACCTATGGATCTTACGTAGTCACATTAGATTCACTCAATCTGTTGCAGCAAAATACTCTGATGAAGCCTTCACATTACTAGGTGGAAATTTTGGCTAAAAGTAAGAGCAATGTACACTCATGACCTAGATTTTATCTCATTAAAGTCTCATTTTGATGGAGGCTGTAGAATGTTGTACTTTAAAACAATATCTGAGAGATACAGATCAGTAGTATTACTTAGTGCCTCTTTCCTCTTTCACTTTCAGTTACTCAACCATGAGGACAAACTAGTACCATCTATCACTGCAAGAGTTCTGACAATGGAGAGTGGCCATATGGCAGCGGACACAGCCCACCCCCTGGTAAGATGAGGGATGCTACCACCCTTCTTAATCTCTGAGAGTCATCAAAAAATCACTCACAGGAAAACAACCTACATAGC